CAATATTTCCTTCTTATTAAAGCACAGGCACTTGAAGGGATTAAAATAAAACGTCTTACTACTGCTTGACTATATATGCTATATACTGTAATAGATAGTGAAGCAGTAGTAAGTTTTATTTTAATCCCTTCAAGTTCCTGTGTATTAAAGTGCATACGCGTAGGGAGGGGTCTTTAGCAGTGGGAGGAAACCGGAGGACTCGGAGAAAACCCACGAGGTTGAACAGGCGACCCTACTTGTCACATACAACCGGGGAATCGAAACCACGCCATTTGACGCAATGACAGACCTTATGATACAACGCGCACGCCACACTAACCATTCGACCATCCAACCCCTGCTATTAGCTTTAAGGATCTTATTTGTGTAGATGTTGATGAAATGGGGTTTAACGTCCTACTTTTCCGCACCAACCGGGGTGATGACGATGGACATCCGGTTCGCGGGGAATTTGTTTGCAGCATCACTGAAGCCCACTTTTGTTTCGAATTCCATCTGTCAAGGGTTCTTTTACGTGCACGCCAATGTGAACACGGGACCTCGGTTTCTTTATACCATCCGGACGACTTGACACTGTCCTTGCAGAAATCTTGACATGTTTCTAATGCTTGCTTTAAGGTTATAAACACAGTTCTTATTTTAGCAGGGAGCCACGGTGGCCCAGTGAATAAGGCGCTGGCTCAACAACGAGAAGGTACGGGGTTTCGATACCGGGGTTGGGCGAGAACGTCTCTCGGGTTTTACCTGTGTGGTTTCCCATTGTCAGTGTTGTGAGACGGAGGGTCTGAGAAGGAACAGCGTTTACCCGTTCGAGTAGAAGGAAAACCCAGGTCCCGTCTCCCGTCAAAAGTCAAATCCCAATAACTCACTTTTGTTATCAAAATTGAGTTCGGACCAAATTTGTAGTTTCTAGGGTATGTGCTTCCTGTTGTTGTACTAAATATTCCAATCTTTTGATTTTGTAAGCAGTTACACCCATGACACAACCTAGCAAATATTCATTCATTACGTTTTCCTTTGTTTTCTCAAAATAAGAAAAACGTGAGTTACTAGGTGTTGCCTTTTGACGGGAGACGTCCGTGTGCACGTAAAAGAACCGTTGGCAGTTGAAATTTGATGGAGATATGGGGAAGAGTCCTCGTAGACAATTACTCTTCATTCCTCTTTCTTTAGGTCCGCCTTCGTCTGCCAAGTTCGTGCAGTGTTCGATCCCCTGCATTGGCCGAGAAAGTTCATCCAGATTTTCCGACGTGGTTTCCCCTTGTCAGTGGTGCAGAACGGAGGGCCTGACAAGGACAGCTGTCTAGTCCTTCGGATGAGACGAAAAACCGAGGTCCCGTGTACACATTGGCGTGCACATAAAAGATCCCTCGACAGTTGGAATTCGATATAAGTGTAGGCGATAGTGCAGCTGCCCGGGCAAAATTTCCCTCATAGCACACTGTATGGCGTATGCCCGTCTTCATTAGCCCAGTACGGAGCAGAAAGTAGGACGGTAAACCACATTTCATTTCATTTTAGTTAGTGGAGAAAAGTAGGGCGTTAAACCCCATTTCATTTTGTTACTCGGCAGTTCGCAAAGCTAATTTTCGTTGTACTTTGTATGGAGTGAGCATGTCATGGGAGTCTAGTGAGAGATACACACCCAACATGTAACGTATTCCCAACAACATTCTCAGATCAAACGTGTGTATTAATTAACCGGTGAATAAACGACAAACGATGTAGGAATATTTCATCGCTTGATCTTATTACCCCTCTCACCATGTTTATAACACCGCGCACCTGCTACAATCCGCCATCTTGAGTTGTAATATTATCTAATTACTGTTCGCATCCACCAGCTTATTTTAACTAAATAGTTTATATAGACAACAACCGCACTTTTAAACTCGTTGTATGATCTTAATCATCAAAGATTCACTTTATTTATATTTTAAACAAGTTGAAATGTTTTCTGGATTAATATTCTCGAGATTGGCCTTGATTAAAGCCGCCTCGTACACTTATCGACTTGTTCAACTACCAAAAAAAAAGAACCCAGCTACAAAACATATATTTTCGTGGGTTTCTTTTTTTATAGTTGCTCCAGGGTGTGGTTGATATTTGGTAAAATGATAATTAAAGTTGATACAACTTGATAGGAAGTTTTAAATTAATTAATTTTGAAGGGGTAAAAAATGAAGAAAGCGGATATGTGTATAGAGCCTAGTTTTTGGAGTGCCAGGAATAATTGGTTGACTGCGGAAGCGGACGACAGACCCCACACAGGAATGATAGAACGAACGAGGTATTTTATACTTTCGATGGACTCTACTCGTCAAGATATGACCAGTTGTTGTGGGAGGTCGCGTCAGAGGTCATACGGCGGCTTTTGACCTATGACGTCAGATATTTGATTAACCAATCGGCGTTGATGTTTCTACTAGGATACCCACAGTTCCGTGCATCGTGCGCTGCAACAGACCGTTACATTGGCTAATCCCTAACATCAACATAACAACTTTTCCTGATCCTAGTGTAGTAAAGACAAGTAAAACAAGATTTGAACTATAAAAAACGAGACTAAATAGAGGTTTTAGATGTGCAGTTGACGATGCCCCCAATGTGTGACTTACATGTTAGCCGTGAGTCGAATATCATGCCCAATCTGTTTCACGAGGATTACGAAAGTCTTCTAATATCTCTGTAAAAGATGACTGCCTTCAACACGTGACGTCACAGCACGCGGCGTCAATCATTGGCTCAAAAGCGCGTGCTCTGTTTACATCAGACATTACTGGTTCGGGGAGAATGGTGCTTTTTACTCATTTTAATACCCATTTACACTAAATAGGAAATCATTTTTATCTACAAATACTTCAAACGTCTTTATTTATTTTTCTTATACATAAAAAAAAAATGTTTTAGAATTTAATTTGTCGGTGGAAAAAAGTTGATATTTGTGGCTCATTAAGTCGCATCGATGTCATCCTTATAAAATATTGCAGCGGCCTAGCAAATATTCACTGCTGATCAGTATGTATCATACCAAGGAACTTTGTCTCTGATTTATATTCTAGTTTTGTGTTTTTGAATTATAAACACAATGTTTCTATTTCTTTAAGTCATTTAACTTGCCCATTTAGAAATTTGATCAAGATAAGAGTAATTGTAAAGACAACAATTTTCATTTGGGGCCTAATTTATTTTCTAAACAAGATTAGTGTAGTATTTTGATAGCTTCTCTAAAGTTTATTTAAATTATTTTCATGATAATATTGTTTATTTGTGTTACAATTTGGTCCATAAATCGGGAAATCCCATAAATATACTTTATGTTGATTTTCGGAACAAGGTAGCAAAATATTTTGGTTGCTTTTTATACATCATTTATTCACAATGACAGTAAATTTTCCATTAGGTTAGTGGTATTGGTTTTAAAATATATACGACTTATAGAAATTAACTTTAATTGGCGGAAAAAATAGCACAGTTAGGTTGTCTAAATCTCGGAGAGAGAGAGAGAGAGAGAGAGAGAGAGAGAGAGAGAGATGGGGTTTAACGTCCACTCGACACAAACTAGGCCATTTCAGGACTAACATATGGTTTAATTTTATTTCAATAATGCGCTTGCGCGTAGGTGTCTTTAGCAGTGGTAGGAAACCGGAGGACCCCTAGAAAACCCACGAGGTTGGTAGTATCCATTATCTTACGGTCCGAATGAGTCTTGTATGTGGTAGCAATAAGCTCAATCTGGTTAAAACACAGATCCTATTTCGTTTCGTTTTTATAGTTCAAAATTTCGTTTTACTTGTCTTTACTACACTTGGATCTAAAAGAGTTGTTATTTAACTCGTGTTCTGAATGGTGTCAGGGATAAGCCAATGAAACGGTCTGTTACGGCGAGATTTAGGCGTGTTTTGCACGAAACTGTGGGTAATCCCCTAGTAACATCAATGCTGATTGGTTAATCAAATGTCTGACGTCATAGGGTCATAAGTCGGTCTTTTGACCCTGACGTGACCTATGGCTATAACTCGTCAGATCTTCATGTAGTGTAGGCCATCGAAAGTATAAAAAACGAAACGAAATATAGATCTGTATTTTAATCAGATTGCAATAAGCTTTGACTTTTGGTCCGAATCACCTTGGTTTCGTTCAGAGGTCTTTGTCCGTTCAGGGACCGTTTGTAAAGAGCTTGTTGGAAGTTTATGCCTCTTGTTAGGTTTTTGTCCACCAAATAAAACATGTTTAAACAAACAAAGCATGCCGTTTATAAATCAACAATTCAATTAATTCAATTGCAACTCGAGATCACAGTTGAGAAGACGACAAGACGTGAGCATTACGTGACGTAAGCTGCGGCTTTAGAACTGAACTTTACCAACTCCGATCGACTCATTTTAAGCTCAACACCGTACAATATGTTGGGCCATTATTACAATTAGAGTTATGCCCCTTTATACAAATAAGCAAACCCTCAAGTGCAGATAAAAACTGATTTGATGGAATGGGGTTTCAAGTCTTGTCATCACAATATTCAGTCTTTTTGAAACTAACATATTGTTACTTTTGTTTCCATGGTAACATATTCAATGTTAGGGAGTAGAATTTGGCCTGGACATCAGGGTTCCTGAATAACCAACTCGTCATAGAATTCCAGGTGAACCTGAATTATTAGCCCCATGTGAACCACTAGGCAATGCAATATATGTCAAACCCATGACAAGTGGGTACAGGACTTTGAAAATATCTATGTTCTTCTTATCCAATGTGAGGAGAGGGAGAGAGAGAGAGACAGGTCTACTCATACAAACTAGGTCAGTTCAAGACTTACATATAGTTCAATTTTATTTCAATATTTGATTGGACATCATAGGGGCCCTTTAGCAGGGGAAGGAAACCAGAGAAACTAACTCCTTGTCAGTAAGCCTACAAGCTGGGAATCTAAACCACGCCACTTGACTCAATGACAGACCTCATGATCTAAAGCGAACCCCCACACCAACATCTTAGAATAAGCTACATAAATTTATTAACAGTTTTCTTTAATAAATATTCAACAAACTTTTTCATTTAATTGTAATTGTTTTTTTTAATAAAAGTCTTAGACAGTTTTTCAATTAATTGCAGTTTTATGATTGTGTTTTTGGGGGTTTTTTTTAAATATCTTTGATACTTCTTATTGCACTCATATCTATGTAACTTTACTTTCTGCCATCATTTCCATGGAAACCTCTAAATTTATTTCAGGATTCCTCTTTCACGATGCTGCCAGTTGGATATTTTTTACTGATCTATATTAATGCAACCTAACGCTCATAGTACATATATCGCTGTTCATGGTTTCCATTGATAATCATTTGTGTCAGTCATTATCACATATGTGATAGAACTTGTTAAACACATTCCAAATATAATTTGAACACAGAGATCATTGCTACGATATAGTCCGTACATTCTCTTGTTTTTGTTTGTTTTCTCTTATCTAGTGACAGTCAATTATATTTTTAAATTGTCAGATATCCTCCCACAGTCTCACACAACAACTTTTAATCTTCAAAGGAATTATTAGTGAGCAGAAATTCGCCCGCATATCTGTTATCACTCGTCACTTCAGTCACTTATATAGAAGGATAATTCGTGTTTTCCTTTTGGGTTGGTCACTTCCGTTTCTTGAAATTTATATTATGCATCTATCGTATCGATGATCTCTGTGATAATGACTGACACCAATATTGTCCTTTAAAATGCAGTCATCATTTAAAAAATGGTAGCTATTGTTTATATCAGATCAAAAAAGAATCATTTATTAAATAGCCCCAGTTTATTTTCTCCCATCATCTCCATGGCAGTCTTTGACTTCATTTTCTCCCATCATCTCCGTGGAAACATTTTCATAAAGAGAATCATCCACAAGAAAGTCATCATAACGACACCCAACATGATCCAAATCCACCAGGAACATGATTTGGTGTGCATTTCTAATTTATCACTTTCTACCTTTAACTTGGAGTAATTTGTGTCCGATAATCTTGTACTCTCGATAATTTTCTGAAAATAGAAATATTTCATGTAATAAGCAACAACATGAAATCAATTGAAATCTTATTTAAATGCATTAGACCTTTTTCAAATGGTGTTGAAATGAGCAAAATGTTTAAATGAGGTAAATCTCCATCAAATGATGTTTAAACAAGAAAAACCTCTTTCAAATGATGTTTAAATGAGCTAAGCCTCTTCAAGTGATGATGGTTAAACGAGGTAAACCCCTTCAAATGATTTTTAAATGAGCAAAACCGCTTTGAAATGATGTTTAAATGAGCAAAACCTCCTTCAAATAATGTTTAAATGACCAAAGCCTCCTTCAAATGATGCTTAAATGAGCAAAACCTCTTTTAAATGGTGTTTACACAATCAAAACCTTATTCAAATGGCCTCCAACCCCAACAGGTTTTTTCATCAGACTCATGGTCAACATAATTTAAATTTCAATGTTTTTGATGACCGACAGAAATTGTTTTTATATGACAACAACCACTAACATATGTGTGATGACTATCGCAATTTCCCAGGTATTCATTATAATAATTCAAACCTTCGTATCCTCTTCAACGATTTTTCCAGATACTTTGATATTGTCTTTAAGATTTCTTGTTAAATTTAAAAGTTCATCAGCTAATTTTTCCTGCATTTGATGATGATGTTGAAGTATTGTATCAATATCATTCTCGTCCGTTGTTTTATTTCTGTGTCGTAAACCGGTATCTTTTCCTGAAGAATTGAAAGAAACAGATTTTAACGTGGTGCGTGATGCAGGACCTGACAAGGCCAGTTGTATAGTCGTTCGAATGGGACGAAAAACAGAGATCCCGTGTACACATTGGCAGGCACGTAAAAAGATCCCTTAACAGTTGGAATTCGATATAAGAGTAGACCGTAGCGCCGCTGTCCGGGCAAAATTTTCCTCATAGCATACTGCCTGGCGTGTGCCCATCTTCATTAGCTCAGTCAGAGCAGAACAGTAGGACATTTAACCCCATTTCATTTAATTTCATTTAATGATTCACTTTACAAATGGAGATGCTAGGGTAACACTATTGTTTCTTTATATTGAAAGAAATGAAATGATATGGGTTTTGTTGCCTTGAATGACAAAACTTATTGGTTTTGAAAAATGCAAAGGATCAGTGAAACATGTAACTAAAACTATATTGATAATAACACAATTTTATAGATTTATTACATCAGCTTGATAAAGATACCTGTAAGAGTATAGAAACGTTGTATAAAATAAACCAAGAAGTAGTAAATCCATAAATTTTTTTTATTATGAATATTATACCTCTACTTCTATAACTATAGTATATTTACTGTTGTTGATGTTTTTATTTTTAGAGGAGAGCTGAAAAAAGCCCCCCAATCCCCTTAATCAACAAATTGAAAAAATCGCTCCCCTTATAAGGCTCTCGCAGTTTCAATAAGAAGAGTGATTTAGAAATTAAGGAGAGTGATTTGATATTAACTGCATGTGATGGGGTCATTCCTGGTTTCATAAATGATAATAAACCCTTTGTAAAGGAGAGTGATTTTCAATTTTAAGGGATGGAAGAAAAACCTCCACTCGGTTGACATTCAGGTGTGCGGCAGGCCCTCGAGAGCAATCACTTGCCTTAAAAAACAATGCCTATATTTACCGAGTAATTCATCTTTTTGTTCTTGTCTATATTTCGATTTTGCCTGTATATGTAATTCTTTAGCTTGTATATCACTGACTGGTACTGAAGGTAGTTGATCCGTTATCAAAATCTTCTCACCGGCTGTCGGCTAAAAAAAACATTTCATATATAAACTTCAAAATCTTCATTACATCAAATGGGGTTTAGCATCCTACTTTCCTGCTGTAATGTGAGAGAGAGAGAGAAATGGGGTTTAACTCCACTCGACACAAACTAGGTCATTTCAGAACTAACATATGATTCAATTTTATTTCAATGTAGGGGTCTTTAGCGATGGGAGGAAACCAGAGGACCCGGAGAAAACCCACGAGGTTAGACAGGCGACCCAATTCTTGTCACGTACGTCATACAACTGGGGAATCGAAACCACGGCAGTTGACTCAATGACAAGACCTTATGATACAACGCGCATGCACTAACCATTCGGCCATCCACCCCCACCCCCCCCAATACCGGGATCAAACCCTTGAACTCCTGTGCCACCGAGTCACAGTAAGGATCCATTCCTTTCCTGTTTTGTCACGAAGAAACAAAAATCAACTCACCATATGTCGAGCTTGGACTAATCCCTTTAATAAATCAACTTTTCTAGAATATTCAGTTATCGTGTCTTGAGGTGGTTTACTACAGAAAAAACATAAAGCAGTAAATTTAGAAATCAAACACTGAAAATTTAAAAAGAACTTTTATAACATATAGGAGAATGTTGCCCAGGTTGCAGCATATATTTCTGCCTATTTTTCTTTGATTTCCAACTGTCATGGGTCTTTTACATGCCAGTCAATATGAATATAGTTGGACCTAGGTTTTTTCCTCATTCAATTGAAGTTCAATCACCTATAATTAGAGTTTTCATCACTGTTTGTGTATTTTGCCGGCCTACATATTTTCACCTAAAATGTATTAATAAGTATTTTTCTATCTGTCAAGGGATTTTTACATGAACTACCGAAGAATAGACTGTTCCCGTACATTTTCAATCATACAGGATCTCGAAACTAGATAAAGAGCTGACAGTTTTTGTTATAAAAATAGATAATGAAATTTCAATTGCCGTTTCAAGAACAGTGTAGTCTAGATTGTCATTGCTACCATTGTTAGGATTGTTAGGACAATAAACAAAGTCTTGATTATCCATTTTTTAATTAAATTATTAACCGTATTTAAATCCACTGAAAATCAGAATCATCCGATCAGTTCAATTCAAAACTGGGGCATTCTTGGTTCTTCAACATATATCTTACCTTTGTGATTTCTTCAAGTCATTCAACTGTTGATGTAAAGCTTCAACATACTAAAAAAAATAAATGAAATGAAATGAATTGAACTGGGATTTAAATTCCTAATTTTCTTCACCAACTCATCTAATGAAGACAGGCTTTAGTTATTTACACTATGAGGGAAATTTTGCCCGGACAGCAGAAAGCACTACACAGCCTACTCTAATTTTGAATTACAACTGCCAAGGGTTCTATTTTCTTACCATTCGAAGGACTAGATGCTGTCCCTGTCAGGCCCTCTGATCTGCAACAGTTCACTGACAATTGGGTATGCCGGAAAATTAACTCCAGAGGAAGTTTATCTGCCAAATACCTCGAAAGAACCCAAGACCTCCTGGTTAGCAACCCAGTGTCTTATTCACTGAACCACTGTGTATCATTTAAAATGGAAACAAAAAATACAAAGGAAGTAACTGGTGTTTGACATTTTGTCAATATTACAATATTTTGAGACAAATATAAATAAGCTTATATGAATTGATGGTTGTTTTAAGCAAGTCAATTGGCAACGAACGAACATCACTAAAAACGTTGAGCTATGTCTGCTGTGTATGTTTTTCACTACAACTGGTGCCCATAATCACATTGCAAATGTTGTGTCACAGTAATTTAAAGTAACAGCCAGTTCCCCCCCCCCCCCATCTCTCTCTCTCGGGTAGAATTAAATGGCGGGGTAATTCTCTCCCTCTCTCTCTCAAGACAACTAATCGAAGAAATCTACTGTTTCACCTTTTCTATCCTCCAGCCATCATTATTATTTTTATCGGCTAACATAACCTCACATCTGTTTAAAAGACGGGTAAAATTTATTTCTTGCTTCGTGGCAGCCATGATTATTTTTTATGAGTTAGTTATCTATTCGCTGTTAGATATATGTGTTCATATTTCAATAAGAAATCATTTTTATCTATATAAAAACAATTCAAATTGTCAAAATCGTTAGAACAAATAATGAAAAGGTTTAATTCTAAATATCTAATTGTCAAATTCATTCTAATGACAACATGCAATTAATGTTACTGTGTATCGCGAATAGCGAACTGTGAATAATGACCCATATTCATTACGTCGGCCGTTTATACTTTCCGTTCACCGAAGAACTAAACGTGTGTTTCCGGTTTGCGTTGTCCGGGGTAACGGTAAATATCTCGTCGAATGTGAAGGGATCTTTAATACAATCGGTTATCCGGGTTCGTTCTATTGAACATGTTTAGAATGACGCTCAAATAAACGAAGGGTAAGCTCGATATCTATATTTTTTTATTATTATTAACTTCACGGCCTAGAAAGTTATTGGCGGGTATTTTTAATAATTATATTCATTATTCTAGCTATTGCGAACCGTAGATCTATGCATTTTTAATTTTAAAATGCGCGTTTTTAGATGTAGTCACTATACTATATGATTTTTTGCGATTATTTCTTAACTGAAATCGGGTAAGAGTAAGAAAATAAATTAAATATAGGCCTATCGTAGGTAGTTATAGTATAGGCTGTCACTTGCATGTTTTTATTTACCCGCTAGATTAAATACTATGCGATATCGGCACTCTTCAAATAAATATGCATCGTCACGAATTGATTGTTATCATATATGATAATATGTGTTGTAGGCCGAGACTAAACATTTAAACAAATGGGTGGGTTGCTGTTTTTTTTAACAAATAAACTGTGGTAAGCTTATTTATTGATTGATTTATCAAAAATATATTTCTTTTTTTTTTTGTTCTTACAATATGCAGTTATTTTATTTAATTATTATTTTTGCATAACAAAATATTCAAGAATTGTATTTATTTTCAATTTATTGACTACTGGTGGTACTCTATACTATGTCTATATGTAGGCTATGTCATGAAGTAATGAATCTATCCTATATCAAGTTTATAAATATTATATGAAACATTCACACCAACTGTGTAAATCCACAACACACTGATTAAACGAACACTAAAGAGAATTACAAATTTGAACTCTTGTGGTTCTTCAGAAAAATGTATTAAGATTTTGATCCTAATTTCCTGGGGTTTTCTCCTGGTCCTCTGGTTTCCTCCCACTGCTAAAGACCCCTATGCGCAAGCAAATTATTGAAATAAAATTGAACCCCATGTTAGTCCCAAAATGACCTACTTTGTGTCAGTGGACCAACTCTATAAACAATGGCAGAGCTAGGGGTCTACTGTGTCTATTTATAATCTACTGTGTTAATCTGATACATAGGATACACAGCTACTCGAGATAAAACACAAAACAAAATGTCTGTATTAGATTACATGATATGCCATGACCACTGAAGGCTATTGTCCTATAATTCGTGTGGGGGCTGACTGAACAAAGAACAAAACATTAAACATACATTGTGCAAGAGCTACATCTGTCAATTGCAGGTCTTTCTTTAGGCCTGAAATGTTATCTAAATTATTAATTAGACATTAATTAACTTATCCAACCCTCGATGGCATCGCTAGGCTGCGATATTTACTGGATTAGAACCCGGTCTCCTGCTTCTGATTAAATCAAAAACTGGATAATCAAAGCTATGTTTTTTATCGTACCGACTTTAGTAATGATGACCGAGCCTAGCCCCAAACTTCAATCGCTAAATACTCGGTTCAGGGTGGATCAATTTGATTGAAATTTTCAGCAAATTGCCTTTACATTATCTAGTTTTTAACTATTATAGTGCGAACTACGAGCTCTTTATCTAATCTCCCATAATGTATCTTTGAACAGATCAGAAGAACTTAAAAGTCTCTGCTTGTTATTTGAGTGAATGTTAATCCCTTGTTAACTACAGGTACATGGGGGTTATTTGTGTGATATGTTAATGCCTTACAAACCACAGGTACATGGGGACAGGAACACCCTTATTATTATGGTGCACCTGACCTATTATCATGTGATTTTCAATTTTCTGGTGTTTTTCTTCAAATTTTTAAAACTTATTCATTTATCTTCCTATTTAGTGCTAAAACATATGTTTACTATCAAACATGTAATTCATATTAAAAAAAATACCCTATGATGTATAATATACTATACAGGTCACAATTCTATAGAATACAATTACTGCTTATTACTGAGCGACGTTTCGACTAGGCTTCAAGCAATTATCAAGCAATGTATAAATACACTGTTTGTTTTGTTGAGATTGTCAGCAAGATTTCCTATTGTAATTGTACTATTTTGCATGCTTGATTGAACTGTTAGGCCTTATTGTTTATTAATTGATTTGCTGTAATTAACATACAACTAATTGAAGTATTAAAATACCCGATGTGATAATCAATAGATTATTTATCTGGGATTAACGTTTAATTAACAGGTAAATAATGGGATTTTTTGATGATTAGTGTGTTCAAACAAATTCCAATTGTTAACATAGTAACCAGGCTAATGAGGGGAATTGCCTTTTCTATAATTTTGATTGGGGGGGGGGGGGTGCGAATGGTTAATGTGTGCGCGTGGGATTATAAGGTCTGTCATAAAGGCAAGTGGCTTGGTTATGATTCCCCGCTTCTACATGTCAAGGAGTAGGGTCGCTTGTCCAACCTCGTGGGTTTTCTCCGGGTCCTCCGGTTTCCTCTCACTGTTAAAGACCCTAGAAATGGTTCCACTACTGATGTCTTCCGTCTTGCTCCAGATAAGAATTATCACGGCTAAAAATTGTAGCTATTAAAGACCCATATGACCCGCGAGAGAATTATTAAAATTGAACATTTGTGGACATCTCTCTCTCTCTCTCTCTCTCTCTCTCTCTCCCTCTCTCTATCTCTCTCTCTATCTCTCATTATTTGTTTATTTTTATATTTTAGATAGAAAGGATTCACATCAGATATTGTTTAATCAAGATGGAGGGTAAGATGTCGGACGGTTTAACGATGATAGAGATCAAGCCACCAGTTCATGGCCATCTTGGTCCAGGCAACTTCACCATATCACAAGAAGAAGATTTAACTCACCCGGCCATGTGTAGCGTCTTTAAAAAACATTATATAGATCACCCAGGACATAACTCTAGTCTTCCCACTGACCTGCCTGCTCTTGGGCCTGTTATGCACAGAGACCGAAAATTCTTCAACGAAATGTCGTCGGAGACAAGCAATGCGTATGAATACAGACCCACCGTGAAACCCGTTCTGGAAAACGCTCAGACAAAACTTAGTACCACAAATTTTAAAATGGACAAAGATCTGAGCAAGTTTAATTCCTTCAACACAACAAGTGAATATTATTTTGGTCCGAAAGTAGGGCCTGATTTTAGAAGGATACAAACTATAACAGATCATGGTTCCCATGTTCCGAACGGAGATCCGGGAAAAGCCCCACTGCCTAAATCAGATTATAGAGATAAGTTTGTAGGTCATGATACATCAGTATGTAAAATTATAAAAGCCAAGTCTATGCATGAAGGTAAGTTGTATAATCATAAACCTTCTCGCATCCTAAGGGTGGGGTGAAGGGTGGATGGCCGAATGGTTAGTGCGTGCCCATTAACTCATAAGGTCTATCATTGAGTCGACTGGCGTGGTTTCGATTCCCCGGTTGTACGTGTCGCCTGTCCCACTCATGGGTTTTCTCCGGGTCCTTGTCAGTCCCTCTGTCCTGCACCATTGACAAGGAGAAACCACACCGGCAAATCTTGATGAACTTTCTCGGTCAACACCGGGAGCGAAGCCGCGACCTCCAGGCTAGCGAGCCAACATCTTACCAAATTAGCCACCGTGGTTTCCCGACATGGCAAGTGTCTTGTATACATGTTGTGGTGCACGTTCAAGAACCCTTGACTGTTGGGATGTGATGAAGAGAAGACTGAAATGCCGGTTATATAAACAAGCCATTTATTTATATTTCAGGAGGACCACCAACAATAACTGGAGATCTAAAATACAACGATTTTACCACTTCTCATAGTCAACAGTTTCCTTATAAATGGCAATATAAATTAGATTCATTTTATCCGGTGAGTATCTCTCTCTCTCTCTCTCTCTCTCTCTCTCTCGGTTACCAGGAGGTGCCCAGGATTGTCCAGGGTGGTTTCCCCTTGTCAGTTGTGCAAGATGGAGAGGCCTGACAAGGAATGAATCGAGGTCCGTCATGCGCATTAGCATGCACTCTTTAAAGTTGGAATTCGATATAAGATAGACTGCACACTGTATGCCGTGTGCCCGTCTTCATTAACCTAGGGGGATTGGATGGTCGAATGGTTAGCGCGTGCATATTATATCATAAGGTCTGTCATTGAGTCAACTAGCGTGGTTTCGATTCCCCGGTTGTACCTGACAATAAGTAGTGTCGCCTGTCTAACATCATGAGTTTTCTCCGGGTCCTCCGGTTTCCTCCCACTGCTAAAGACCCCGACGCGCAAGCGAATTATTGAAATAAAATTGAACCATGTGTTAGTCCCGAAATGACCTAGTATGTGTCGAGTGGACGTTACCCCCCCTCTCTCTCTCTCTCTCTCTCTCTCTCTCTCTCTCATTAGTCGAGAACATTAGGACTTTAAACCCCATTTCATTTCATTTATCTCCCTTGTTCCTAAATATCCCCAAGAGAAATAACGTATGGTATCAAAGTTGATGAGAATTTAAATTATATTTCTTATATGTTTACAGACAACAGTAACGAATGTACCGAATGGTGATCCAGAGAAGATCGTACTACGTGACACAACAATGAGAACATCATTCCCATGTATTGAAGGAATCGATCGTCCTAAACCTAGTTACGATCGTCAAGCAGTCAGTCAGCTTCTATTACAGACCAATTTTAAACAGTCCGATGGCAAGAAAACCTGGGATAATTACATGAGTACAGCTAATAGTTCCTTTCAAATGGCCACGGTACCATGTAAGTCTTCTAATTATTGTTCCTGTCCTTGGAATACGACAAAATCAAATTTCTTTTGCCGTAGCCCGTCACTTAAAAGCACCCAGAGTTCATGCAATAAAACTGCCAGATGATTTTCTGGACAAAACACTCTATAGGCCACGATTCTTAATGGATTTTGGGGGAGCCACGGTGGCTAAGTGTGTAAGACGCTGGCTTGCTAGCCTGTAGGTCGCGCGTTCGATCCCTGCATTGGCCGAGAAAGTTCATCGACATTTCGACGTGGTTCTCCCTTGTCATTGATGCAGGACGGAGGGCCTGACAAGGACAGCTGTCTAGTCGTTCGGATTGGACGAAAAACCGAGATCCCGTTTGTACATTAGCGTGCACGTAAAAGATCCCTTGGCAGTTGAAATTCGATATAAGAGTAGGCCAAGATGCCATAAAAACTGGGGAATTTCATTCCATAAATATGGTGCAGTATATGAAAAAGAAGGTACAGTATTAGGTTTTAAAGTCCCTGGGTTATAAGATTGGGAACAATATTATATAAATGTAGTTGTTTAAATTCAGATAAAAAGTCGGCTCCATCCATAGCCCGTAACCAGAGTGCTTTTCCCCGAGGTGACTGGGGGAATGACACAGAAAGAAGATCTATGACGACCAGTAATTTATATCATGGCAATGTAAGTATTAATATAACGTGGTTCCGGTTGGTGAAGAACGACATTAAACCTCATTTCATTTTATTTTATATTCCTTTTGTGTGCATCATTCTGACATACTGAGAACAGTTGCTGTTCAGATGGTCGACAAATCAGGTGTATTATTGACAAGAGAGAGGGCAGAGAAATGGGGTTTAACGTCCACTTGACACAAACTAGGTAATTTCGGGACTAACATATGGTTCAATTTAATTTTATTTCAACAATTCGCTTGCGCGTAGCGGTTTTTACCAGTGGGAGGAAACCAGAGGACCCGGAGCAAACCCACGAGGTTGGACAAACGACCCTACTCCTTGTCACGTACAACCGGGGAATCAAGACGTTATGTACAAGACTTCAATAACTTTATAAACTGACGTCTGGACAACAACCGTCAAGACCAGTCACATCATTTATATTGCATCTGACTCTTACTAAATGTGTTATTTTAACCGATTCTCTGTTACTATGTGTGTTCTTTTGACTGACTTAATTACTAAATTGTTATTTTGACTGAATGTAACTGCATGTGTTCCTTTGATTGGCTATGTTATTAAATGTGTTATGTTGACTGGGCCTCTGTTACTAAATGAGTCATGTTAACTGATTCTGTGTTACTAAATGTGTTATTTAACTGACTGTGTTACTTGATGTGTTATTCTGACTACTGATCTTTATTTGGATATCTCTATATTATATACTCCTAGATGTATTGATTCTTGACAGATTATGGTGTTAATATTGTTTTTTAATAGGATTTCAGACAGATAGAACACTTTTAGTAACAGTCTGTTACCATACGTGTTGACAGACTCTCTGTTTTACTAAATGTGCTCTTTTCACTGACTGCTACTAAACGTGTTCTTGACTGTTACTATGTGTTATTTTGACTGACTGTGTACCTAAATGTTTCTATTTCAGCCTGCTCCCGGTCTACACAATACGATATTAAAAGGCGCGGATGAGTTAACGAAGAGTAACGTATTATTTGGTGAACCCCGTATAAAGAAGCCATCTATCTATTATTCTACTACCACTCAAGATGTCTTCACCCCCAAATCCACCCCTTATACCTACACCAAAAATAAATACTATCTCAATTCTCATGTGCCATTACGTTATTACAGTAAGTTATTACATTTATTATTATATTATTACATTTATATTATTACATTTATATTTATATTATTACATTTATAATTATTACATTACAGTAAGTTATTACATTTATAATTATATTATTATTGTTATTACTGCATTTATTATTATATTATTATTGTTATTATTATATTTATAATTATATTGTTATGAGTATATTTATAATTATATTATTATTATTATTATTATTATTACATTTATAATTATATTATTGTTATGATTATATTTATAATTATATTATTATTGTTATTATTATATTTTCAATTATATTATTACATTCAAAATTGTGTTACTATTATATTTAATTTTACATTTAGAATTATATTGTTACATTTAGAATTATGTTATTATATTTATTTTTACATTTAGAATTATATTATTACATATATTACTGCATTTATTATTTAGTATTACATTAGTTGTTACATTTGTCGTTATATTATTACATTTTGTTTTCTTCCAGAAAATGAGATAAACAACTCGACAACTCAGTCTGATTATTTGAAACCAGGTAATGTAGACAGAGTACACCCTATGGAGTCCGGTGAACAGGTAAACACGAACCCTTATTTTATTTTTTACACCTTGATTATCAATGAAAGGAAATTTAGCTATTGAGCACAATAAAATAAAACATGGTACTATATAGTTTTACCCAGAAACCCCCCGATAGGAATCAGATCTGGCCCCAAATTCACAAAACATTCTCAGACTTAAGTTAAGAATTTACTCAAAATTGTAGGACTTATTTGAACTAAAATATAGCCCTTTATAAAACCTTCGTTTTTTTTAATGTATCAAATACATCAATAAGAAACTATGTGCAAAGTTTTGTGTTTCTGGATCAAAGACATTTTTCATAAACAGTGATTGAAAGTTGAGTAAATTCTTAACTTAAGTCTGAGAATGCTCTGTGAACTTGGGGCCTGACTTCATAAAGGAAAACTGCCAATTTGGTTTTTTATTCGAAAACAATGACTGGTTATTGTTATTTATTACATTTCTGCCACATCCAACTACAATTAAACATAATCCTCCCTGACACGGGTATAAACCATCTCTTTTAAATCGAGGCCAAGATTGTTGGCTTTGCAAGATATTTTAAATTGACGTCTAGTTAAATTAAGGCAGGGCTAAATATATGTCATGAACAACAACCAATCAAGACACGGGATATAAAACCACGAACAGGGTGTTGCGCATGACTAATGCACCGTAATTATGAATGTCCGTATCAATTTTGATAAAACATCGCGTGATTAAATTTACTGACAATATTTGCATATAAACGAAAGTTGTTTCACTACATTGGTTCGGGTATGTTTAATTCGTCCTAATAGTATAAAATTTACCTATTTTAAGATGTTACATGCATTAATAAAGAAATTAAGTTTGCCAGGTGGAACTAAACGTATAGATTTCCAATTCAAATTAACTGCATTTTGCAATTCCAGATGAAGAAGACCAACTTTTTCCCGCCATGGAGAAATGCGACCTGTTTTAATACAACCCATCAGGACATGTATACACCGAAAACAATGGAGAAATTCATCATTGATTCCGGCAAGATGCAGAGAAGTTCCGTTCCTTTGGGACCACAAGCTTAAAAATCTCTGATAACAGTCAGTTTTTAAATCATGTCCAAACCACATAAATATATGATTATTTGATATATTTGTTGTTTCCATGGCTCGTCACTATTTCGTTCAGATGTTTAGGACATGTTTCGTTGCCAGGGTTCATTACACATCAAAGTCACTGTGGGGTATTTGAATTTTTCGGGAAATATCAAATTTTTCGCAACTTTATCAACGCTGTCAGTAACTGAGGCGTTATACTTTCGATTTCAAAATTTATACATTTCGATAAAAAATCATTTAGCACACCGTACCAATAAATTAGATCTCCTTACAGGACTTGTTTATTTCAAACACAGCCCACATTGTGGACAGTCAGCATCCCTTCCCCCTCATCTCGTCTAAAATATATATTACACACAAACAATTTTTGGGGAAGTGGTCGGAGAGTATCCTTTTGAGTTGAAGAACCCTGTTGATTTTGTTGTTGTTCTTAATGTTTAACGTCCGCTTCCACCGAAGGTGATATCGCAGACAGGTTTTATTTTTTTATTATTATTATCTTAGCGCACGCGCAGGGGTCTTTTCTGTGGAAGGAAACCGGAGTACCCGGAGTAAACCCACGACGTTGAGAAGGCGCCACACCAGGGATTGAAACCACAGCCGCGAGCCAGAGGTGACCGGCCAGCTAGAGGTCGAAACGCGGCACTCTAGACCACTTGCCCCCCCCCCCCTCCGTTGATTTTCAACGGTTTTTAATAATAACCTACAGGGTTATTCTCATTTGTTACAATTTGTTACAAAATGATGCTAGTCCCCGAGGGTCCAATCAACCCCAGCTCTACCCCCGTTTAATCCGCTACTGTGTGACGACATCTATGTTTGAGGTTTGAATTCTTCGTAACCAGTGACGCCTTTGGAACGTCTCTGTCAGATCCAAGTCCAAACTTTCGACCACGAAGTTGCTATCTATCAAGGGGAACGTTTGAGTCGACGCTTTAGTAGATGATGTTTAAATCGGGTGGCGAATAACTAACTTCATCGTCCTAGGATATTCACTACCCAGATATTAAATAACCATTCCCACACAGTTATATATAGTTAGAATGGATGTAAATTTTTTAAAATATATTTTTAACTTGCTGTGCGTGCAATTTATTTATATTTTTTCATAAACCGGTGAAAAATCTATTTTGTGGTTTTTGTTTTATGTTATTATTTGATAGATTATAGCCAGATATCTCCACAGTGACATACAGTGGACGCGGCCTCAGGTATGGTTGGTCTTGGTAAAAACTCCCCTCATAGCACACTATATGGCCCCGTCTCCATTGTTTGATAAAGACTATAGAAACCTAGGGGGACGAATGGTAAGCGCGTGCGCGTTGTATCATAAGGTATGTCGTCGAGTCAACTGGCGTGGTTTCGATTCACCGGTTGTACGTGACAAGGAGTAGGGTCGCCTGTCTAACTTCGGGGGTTTTCCCCGGGTCCTCCAGTTTCCTCCCACTGTTAAAGACCCCTACGCGCAAGCAAATTATTGAAATAAAATTGAACCATGTGTTAGTCCCGAAATGAACTAGTCTGTGTCGAGTTGACGTTAAACCCCATTTCTCTCTCTCTCTCTAGAATCCTAGTGGAAACTTGGCTCAGTGATAAACAGTAATTGTATGCCATAAAATTGAGACCTGTATAAATTCCAGTTCAATTACTAAATGCCATTAAAACAATTCATTAGCCCAGTCGGTTTAGAAAAGGAGGACGTTGCCTTATTTTAATGTACTCTAACTAACATCAGGAAGCGATGTTTATAAAAACTGTGTTTGTTGTTGTATCCTTAAGACTTGTATGATTATACTGAATCAAATATTGTTTAAGCCATAACAGTGACCTAGCGCAGCTTTTCTCAACCAGTGGCCCCTCAAAGGGTTCCGTGGAGGGAACCTCGGTAGTCTGTAAAATAAAGTATGCCAGTTTTGGAATTCGTATAATGAATTACAGGTAGCGAACTAATCCACGTTATGTGTATGTCTTGGCTACAATCAGAAATGGTTCCACTACCGAGAACATTCGTCTTTGACTCCAGACACAGTAGTGGGTCGTTCTAAGGACGTCTTGTGAGCAGGTTTTGTAGTCATTTAATTACTTGAATGTTACAGGCCTTTAAATCCCTTAATGTCCAATCCCCGGTTGTACGTGACAAGGAGTAGGGTCGCCTGTCCAACCTTGTGGGTTTTCTCCGGGTCCTCCGGTTTCCTCCCACTGCTATAGACCCCCACCCCTCATTTCCTTCATAGCACACTGTATGGCGTATGCCCGTCTTCATTAGCCCAGTGCTAACAGAACAGTGGGACGTTAAACCCCCACTTCATTTCATTAACCATGTTTTCGGAAAGGTCGCGGTTCGCTAAAAATCGATAGGGGTCGCGATCGTCCTCTCATGGCCCCAATGATCTAAGCTCTGTCGCATTAGCAAGGTTTTCGGACAATGGAGAATAATTCACGCTTGACATCCACTCTACTCAGATGCGGGACATCATTATCTACTGTATCGAGGATAAAATGATTTTAAAATCTCATTTTGTGAATATCTCGAAAATTCATTAAATTATTTGTATTCTGAACGAAGTTATGACTTCGCGGATTGTTTAATATCGTGGCAACGGCACTTGACAATTGAGACAGAGTTTCGATTATCCATTTTGTTGTTAATTTTTTTAAAATCCCGCCGGTGTTAGAACATAAATATCACGGCCATTCGATAGTCTAGGAAGATTATTATTGGCTTGTCATGTGAATAAATGTCTAAATAATTATTTATATAACATTTTGAAACCAAAAGAAAGACCTGCAATTAGCAGATTTAGCGTTTTAGGTCCTACATAATGGATCGTTAAATGATTTCATAAAGATGGCAAATTCTTGGGACCTCGGTTTTGGTCCAATTGGAACGACTAAACGCTGTTCCTTGCCACTGATAAGGGATACCCGCGCTGGAAGGGTCGGGGAACACCGGGTTCGAACATTAGACCTCTAAGTTAACGAGCTAGCGCCTACTGACTGAACCACTGTCACATCATACAGGCTGATTTACAAGCTCGTGGCATTCACTGAGGAGTGATTGTGAATTGTGGAGAAAGGGAGTGTTGATGTTGTCAAAACAGTGGTCTGCTTTGGGACCGCGTTAGTAGCAGAAGAAGCTGGTGGTGTAACGTCTACTTCCACAGTGATGATAGGCCTATCAGAGACAAGAAATGAAATGAAATGGGATCTAACGTCCTATTGGGCTAATGAAGACAGACATACGTCATACAGTGTGCTATGATACACTAGACTATGGAATGCTCTTATATCGAATTCCAACTGCCAGGGGATCGTTTACCTGCAACGCCAATGTATACACAGGTCCTTGGTTTTTCGTCCCATCCGAACGACTAGACAGCTGTCCTTGTCAGGCCCTGCGTTCTGCACCACTGGCAAGTGGAAACCACTTCGGAAAACCTGGATGAACTTTCTCGGAACACGCGACCTCGAGGCTAGCGAGCTAGCGTCTTACCCACTTAGCCACCGTGAACTTGCCACTGTAATTGGAATATACTTTAGCAATCTTCGAACGTCCCATTTGTGACCCATAGAAATGGCGACCGAAATGAAATGAAATGGAATTTAATGTCCTACGGTTCTGCTCCGACTGAATTAATGAAGATGGGTCCATGAAGACCACGTTAGCGCTACCATGTTGTTAAGTAACGCCACCTATTATGACGTCATAATGGCGTGACCTTACAGTCCGCCAGATGTTTTAAAGGTTCAGCTGTGAGGTATGTATTTTTCTTGCATTTTTTAATGTAATAAGAACTATTATATAATGAGCCTGTAACCAATCAATAAATTTAATAAAATACTGCCCATTTTAGACAAAGCCTAGATATACGCACGTGACCAAACAATCCATCTTAAATAAAAAGACAGAAATACTTATAATGGACATTTAGAATGATTTTTTCTTTTCAAACAAATTTGATATTTCACTATTCTAGGTAGATAAATTTCAACATGACGAGATCGAGGCTATCAAATGCTGCTACTGAAAGGTTGTTGAAGAAGAAGAAAGTTAAAAAAATCACGACTCCACCACACTCTAAAAACAAAAAACAAAAATCGTCAAGTTCGTCTGCCGGATCGAAGAGAAAATCTACACCCAAGAAACACATCACGAAATCTAAAAAACGCCAAAGTACACGAAAATTGCCACGTAGAACAAAACAAATACGTATTAGTCGAGACGTCCGTGTGACGTATTACACACGTTATCGGAAAGGGATGACGTCAACTTTGCTGAAAAGAAGTGAAAAATGTCAGTTATTTGAGAGTAACTACCGAACATATGTTTCGCGTTTATTAAAGCACGTTCACAGGGGCATGCAGATATCCAAGGAAAGTCTAGATCAGATGAACGGCTTTGTGAATTATTTATTTCACAGCGTAGCCTACGATGCAGCTATTCTGGCGCGGGGACGTGAACAGAAAACCATCACCGGAAAAGCCGTCCAAGACGCCATTATCGCCAAATTTCCTGGCAACATCAAAATATTTGCAGTAATGAACGGAATTGAAACTTTAAATAAATTTATTGTAAACAAGAAAAAATAATATAAATGGATAAATTGTACTTAATAACATTTAAAATAAATCTTATAAGACAAACCAAATTTTAAAATTTCTTATTATGTTTATACTTATTTATTTCATAGTTCCCGATAATATGATTTATCACACAATAATACATTCTACAGTAGATATCGCTTGTGAGATAAATTTCATAATCTACTGGGAGATATCGCTTTACATGAATTTGATTGGTCAGTTGAAAATTAACTACCTTTTTTTATTTTCAAAGAACAGTTCATTTTTTTTATTAAAAGTAACTTCTTTTTTTTATTTATTAAAAATTAACTATCTTTATTTAATTGACCTTGATGGAAACACTGGGTCAATATAAAGGACTTTGCAATAGTTGACTTGCTGTGAAAAAATGATGTATCACTACGCCATAATGTAATCAGGTTCAGTAAAAGTGAAATCTACAGCAAAGAATTATATTTATCTATTTGTGCATGTAAGAAGGGATTGGGTGATAAATAAAATCTCCTACTCGTCTTTTTTGATATCAAAAAATATCAACACTCGTTGATAAAGTAAAAAAAAAACCTCGGCAGAGCCTCGTTTTTTGTTACGTTATCCACTTGTGTTGATATTTTTTGATATCAAAAAGACTGGTAGGAGATTCTCTATATATTACAAATTGTTGGGTTTATTACTCAACGACGTTTTTAAACTCCAGTTCCCCGCAATTACCCTGGCGTTCATAAAGCGACTGCAAAACGTCGAGAAAATTTAAGGCAACCGCAGTATAAAGTGTTGGGATGGCCTAGTGGTCTAGTATGCCGCCTTTGACCTCTAGCTGGCCGGTCACCTCTGGCTTGCGGCTGTGGTTTCGATCCCTGGTGTGAACGTATGTTGCCTGGAGATAGGAGGCGCCTTCTCAACCTCGTGGATTTACTCCGGGTACTCCGGTTTCCTTCCACAGAAAAGATACCTGCGCGTGCGCTTAAACAATAAAAATGAACAATACGACTTGTTTGCGATATCACCTTCGGTGGAAGCGGACGTTAAATACTAAGTAGACCAACAACAACTTTGTTTTGCGCATGGACAAACAAATAGAAAGAACGGTGTAATGATCGAGACTATTAGTCCTCAACAGAGACCATTAGTCCTCAACAGAGATCAGTAGTCCCCAATACAGATCATTAGTCCACATCAGAAACCTTTAGGCCTCAACAGAGACCATTAGGCCTCAACAGAGACCATTAGCCCCACTTACCACCTACTGGTCTCGCCCCGTCTACCACCTATTGGACTCACCCCACCTGCCGACTCCCCCCCCCCCCCGCCTCACAGTGGTCTCACCCCACCTTCCGACTTCTGGTATCTCCAAACCCATCGCCTACCGGTCTCGCCCAATCTACCACCTACTGGTCTTGCCCAACCTACCCCACGGAGTCTTTTAATCTCGATTGGACCAAAGATCGAGCTAAACGATCCTCCTCTACCCTACCGCGATTGAGAAACTTTGAGAAAAGTAAAATCGTGTGATGTCCCCGCCAAGCCACCGTACATATTTAAATATAATATCAATGTAATAGAGTTCTTCATTTGTTGATAATCCCATTCAGCGATACAATATCTAAATAAGTTATTTTACTACATGACTCACAATAGACTTATAGTATAAAGACACTTTTTCTTTATCAAAGGGTTGTTGACGTATTTCCCTATGATGTCACCATTGGGCAATATATATATATTCTAGATATGATATCTAAATAAGTTAAAAAAAAAAAAAAATTCCCGATACGTAATAGACGTATAAATAGGGGCTTAGTCCGTTTCTTTTATTAAAGGGTTTTCTTGTTTGGGAATTCTCACATGTCACTGTTGTATGCTAGATATATTGTACTAATATTCTCGTACTGTTCTGGTAATAGATGTACAGTAGATAAAAATGTTTAAAGTGGCGATACAACTACCACCGGGAGCCGCAGTGGCTCACTGAGTAAGACAGGGGCTGTCGCTCTCGCTCCCGGTGTTGGCCGAGAAATTCCTCCCCCCCCCCCTCGGCTACGGGCCTGAGACAGACGGAGACAGACTGGTCATTTCGGGACTAACATATGGTTCAATTTTATTTCAAAAATTCGCTAGCGCGTATAGGGGTCTGTAGCAGTTGCAGAAAGCTGGAGGGTCCGGAGAAAACCCACGAGCTTGGACAGGCGACCCAATTCGTATCACGTACAAGCGGGGAATAGAAACCACACTAGTGGATCTTGTGATATACAACACCAGCGTTAAGGGATTCGACCACCCAACCACCCACTGTATTTATCACTTATCTTATGTAAAATGCTATGAAATGCATATAACGATGTCAGTTATCAAAATAATTCTGTAGAATCTTACCCTCCCCCCCCCCCCCCCGGACCCACACCCACCCTCCCCACGAACCAAAAGAGAATTTCCGACCAACCAGACCGACTGTATTTTGATGGGATCAGGCTACCGTAAACAAGGATATTATTGTATTTGACCTTATATTTGAACATATGTACCTACTATACGAATCATATGTTATGACTTTTATTGCAATGTGATAATAACACCAACCCGGATGCGATAAACAAACTGGGAACCAATCCTAATCATGGGTATTATTGTATTTGACCTTATAATTGAACTCATCTTACTATACTAATTTTATCTTATCATTTCCTTTGTTATACGACAAAAACACCAACCCGGCAGTAAATAACCACATTCGAATTAATATGCTAGTCTATTTCTAAGAATATAACATACGTATAAACCACTTATACTATTAAATAGAGCAGATGTATACAAGGTCAGTTCAATATTTACTGTCTACAGATTATCAAGTGATATTTATATGCTGAACTTTCAATAATGTAAGTTTGTTTTTCGTTTTTATTAATTCTAAACATATCTATCTGTCTTCCTTTTAATTGGAGCCTGTGACTAGGCCATAACTAGAATGTCTTGCCTGCAATACCTAAATTGATTTGTATGAAATGAAATCGGCTTTGGGGGAGGGGAGGTGGATGGTCGAATGGTTAACGCGTTGTCTGTCGATTCCCCGGTTGTATGTGACAAGGAGAAGGGTCGTCTGTCCAACCTCGTAGGTTTTCTCCGGGTCATCCAGTTTCCCCCCACTCACGAAGACCCCTAAGCGTACGCGAATTATTGAAATAAAATTGAACCATATCTTAGTCCCGAAATGAACTAGTTAGTGTCGCGTGGAAGTTAAACCCCTCCCCCTCCCCCCTCTCTCTCTTTTGACTAATGCCCAGTGACGGGTGCACATGAAAAGAGACTGGACTATTCTACTTAAAAGGCCCATCCCAACCCTCCATTATCCCTATTAAGGAAAGTCGAGGATGGGTTAGATCAAGGGCGGATCCAGGTCGAACCCCCCCCCCCCTCAGCTACATAAATCTTTTTGTAAATCAACACTTTTTATGAGAAAAGTTTCTCGGCCGTTTGCTTTATCCTTTATCGTCAGATGTGGGACAGGATGGGCACTCAAAGCACGAGATAATGATATAGACATTATGTGATATCACATATAATGCTTTGCATCCATGAAATTGAATCACAATGTCAATGTTTTAATTCATAATGAAAATTGACGTCAAACGAGGTTTTGAATTTCTCTGTTTAAAAAGCTCAATGAGGAATAGAGGCCATGCGGGAGGGGGGAGATACATTGTCTCAGGAACCTGTCAAACCCCCTCCTGCAAAAATTCCTGGATCCGCCCCTGTAGATCTATTTGATAAGGCCAACTTAATTCAACTTTGGTCAAAGGTCACGAATTGTAACCAGGGATATCACTAATCCCAACCCTATCCCCAACCCTAACCCTCGACCTAGCCCTAATGCCAACCTACAATCTCGCCAACAATCACGTGCCTTAACCTTATTTACATCACAACGACCTTGACGAAAATTGAGCTGGCCTTAACAAATAGATTTAGGCGTGTTTATCTATTCTCAATCTAACATCCCTTTTCTTGGCATTGTAATACTAATAACGTAGCGTTTACTGTGAATAAATCTTACTGTAAATTTGACCTCATTTAATCCGGACCTGAATGTAATGAAATAAAGATAATAATTACGTCCATAATCAGTTTGGTTGTTTTTTTTGAGGGGGGGGGGGGGGGTAGTGGGGGAGGGGGGATATGTGGGTGCGTGTGTGTGTGTGATCTATTATTATCGGCTGTTGTTTTATATTATTTAAGCATGGGTAATAAAACGTGCTGTGTCCGACCACAGACCAAGTCAAGGGCTGTTGTCTATGACGTAAATGAGTCGCCAGCCGATCACAGTCAAAGAGAATTACCCCCCTTACCTAGTGAAGAAGGTTCGTAATTTTTAATCTTTTGACCATTCTACTTTTAAGCAAATACATGAAATGGGGTTCAACGTCCAATTGTTCTGCTCCGACTGGGTTAATGAAAACGGGCTTAAGCCAAATAGTGTGCTATGAGGGTAATCTATGAGGGTAATTTTGCCCTTATATCAAATTTCAACTGCCAAATATTCTTTTGCATGCACAGAACCTCGTTTTTCTTCCCATCCGAACAACTAAAATTGTCATTTGCCATGCACTCCGACAACGGAGCACCATACCACAAAATCCCACTGAACTTGCCCGGGACAACACAGGGATGGAACACAAAATTTAGAGGTTAGCGGGTCAACAGCTTACTCACTGGGCATCCGTGGATCACTTTAAGCAAAGAACACAATTTGGTAATAGAAATCTTTGAAGAGCCAAACTGAATATATCATTGATAAATAATTATACTATGAGTTTATTTATTTCAATATAGACACTTGTATCTACGCTACACTAATAATGTAGTAAAACTAAAAACAAGGACAGAGGCGGATCCAGCTACATAAAATGTTTTGTAAAACAACACTGTTACGACAAAAGGGACACGGTCGTGTGCTTGATCCTTTATCATCAGATGGTGGGATGGGATGGGCATTCTAAGCGTGTTAGATATTGATATAGACATAATGTGGTATCGCAATTAATGCTTTGCATCAATGAAATTGAATCACAATGTAATCCTATTAAAATTGACTCAAACGGGATGTTGGATTTCTCTCTATAAAAAGCTCAGTGTGTATGTGGGACATGGGGACGATGATGGCATCATGTATTGTTAACTGTCAAACAGAAATATTGCATACACCCTCCTACAAAAAGTCCCGGATCCACCCCTGGTGCATTATCAAATTTAGTGACAGTCAAAATGTTGAAGTGGAAGCCCTGATATAGATAATGCCAGTTATCTATGCACGTGTCATGAGTTTAATCTCATTTATGTTTGACACAGTCTGATTAAAACACAGATCCTATTTCGTTTCGTTTTTTATAGTTCAAAATTTCGTTTTACTTGTCTTTACTACACTAGGATCTGGAAGAGTTGTTATATTACTGGCGTTCTGGATGAAGTGAAGGATAAGCCAATGAAACAGTCTGTTACGGCGATTTCTTGGCGTGCTATGCACGAAACTATGGATAAACCACTAGAAACGCCAAGGCTGATTGATTAATCAATGTCCGACGTCATAGGTCAAAAGTTGCTCGTACGACCCGTGACACGATCTTCGAGTACATCTTGTCAGATCTTCATGTAGTACAGGCCATCGAAATTATAAAAAAAAACGAAACGAAATATAAATGTGTATTTGAATCAGATTGTGTTTGACAAGAAGCATAACCGCCTGGTTAACCCCAGCCCCCCCCCCCCCATTCCCCGACTTCCTCATGTGGCAAATAAATCTTACCTAGCAATTGAATTATTAACAGAAAACTACACCATATGTGTTGAGTGTGCCGTAAACCATATGTTAGTCCCAACAAAACTTTCGTTACTCAGCCTCTGTTAGGTGTGCAATAAACCACGTGTTAGTCCCAACAAAACGAGCGTTACTTAGCCAGTGTTAGATGTGCAATAAATCATATGTTAGTCCCAACAAAACAACTCAATTAACTAGTCGGTGTTAGGTGTGCATTAAACCACATGTTAGTCCCAACAAAACTTTCGTTACCCAGCCTCTGTTATGTGTGCAATAAACCACGTGTTAGTCCCAACAAAACGAGCGTTACTTAGCCAGTGTTAGACGGGACTAAATACCAATTCCCCAGTACAACCAGTCGCCTAGCCCTCTGTCTGTCTGTCTGTCTCTCTCTCCCCCTCTCTCTCTCTCTCTCTCTCCCTCTCTCTCTCTCTCTTGGCCCACATAAACCAATTTATTTTATGATCAGTAGTGGAATACCGCGTTTTATCAGTGAAATAAAAGTGTTATTCCACTGGCTAAAGTAGTCCATGTTGTTTTTACCTAAAATGATTGTAAAATCATAAAATAAATAGAACATTTGTCGTTTTGTCGTGAATAACATATTTTATTTCATCTCTAAGCAAGAAAACGTTTATATTTTCACTCATGCTATACGCATTCGTGAAAATATAAGTTTTCTTGCTTCTCGATGAAATAAAATATGTTATTCACTCTAAAACGACAAATATCCTCTATTTATCTCTACTTTACCAATTGTTTCGCTATCATTTTTATTGTATCGTCCATTTTATCTTGAAATTGTTTATTATAGAACCAGTAAGAGAGCCATTTATGGTGAAAGCTTTATATGATTATCAGGGTGTTAATGTAGATGATTTAAAATTCAAGAAAGATGATAGGATGGAAATTGATTTAACAGTAACAGAGTAAGTTAACAAAACATATAATTAAATAACATAGTGGCATTAATAAACAGCGTGTGTGCTGATCATAAGGTCTATGCGTGACAAGGAGTTGGGTCGCCTGTGTAACCTCGTGGGTTTTCTCCGGGTCCTCTGGTTTCCTCCCACTGCTAAAGACCCATGTGCGCATGGGAATTATTGAAATAAAATGGAATCATATGTTAGTCCCGAAATGACCTAGTTGGGTCGCCTGTGTAACCTCGTGGGTTTTCTCCGGGTCCTCTGGTTTCCTCCCACTGCTAAAGACCCATGTGCCCATGCGAATTATTGAAATAAAATGGAATCATATGTTAGTCCCGAAATGACCTAGTTTGTGTCGAGTCGAGTGGACGTTAAACCCCCCCTCTCTCTCTCTCTCTCTCTCTCTCTCTCCAATAATCCCTAACGGTGATATCGATGAACATGAATAAATCTTAACTTCTGTGACATGAATAAATCTTTAATGAACCGTAATAGTGACGTCAATAAACACTACACTATTGTGGCTTAAATCCAATACTAAAATTATGTGCTATTATATCTTTATTTACCTCGTGAAGGCTACCTATTACTCTTTAAAATTAAACCTTTATATACCCATACCCCTTGCGATTTCTCGGGCCATTGCTTCAGGAAATGAAATGAAATGAAATGGGGTTTAACGTCCTACTGTTCTGCTCCTAACCTGGGCTAATGAAGACGGGCATACGCCATACAGTGTGCTATGAGAGAAATTTTGCCCGGACAGCGGCACTACGGCCTACTCTTATATCGAATTCCAACTGCCAAGGGATCTTTTACGTGCACGCCAATGTGTACACGGGACCTCGGTTTTTCGTCCCATCCGAACGACTAGACAGCTTTCCTTGTCAGCCCCTCCGTCCTGTTGCTTCAGGAATATGCATGAAGGCTACATGTAAAATAAACATATTACCCTTCACAATTAAACCTTTATATGCCCCACGAAGGCTACCTATTATCCGTTAAAATTAATCCAATCTCTAAAATGTTCAGCACGTCAAAATCTATATTTGTGCAAAAAGTTCCGCTTTTAACACAAATCCTACAATTCAACCATTTTTTGTCTCCTATCTGACGCACACTATGTGCTCGGTTAAACCCCTCTGCATTATATTTACAGTGAAACCGAAGATTGGTTGATGGCCATCCATTCAAAGAGTAAGAAAAGAGGCTATATACCCAGCAATTATGTTAGAAAAGATGATAATTCTATAGAAAGCCAAGAGTAAGTAGTCTTTGTTGTTTTATTTGTAAATTCTAAAATATATTGGTAAAACATGTCTTGCTAATTTAGAAAAGAAAATCTAAAAAAATTTAACCCCACTGTAATCATATATTTTTATATTTTAGATGGTGGAATGATAACAATATATATCTGAGATGGCGGTATTATAACAATATATTAAGATGGTGTAGTACTATAGGACTTGTTGTGCTTGTTTCTTGGTGATCGTAACAAGACTAAAGCATAAAATAGTTTCACAACTTTATTGCTAAGCTATAATGGCTTTGCAGGTTCCCCGTTCTCAATGAAAATGGCTGCTAGGAAATTCTTAATGCGTTCTGACCCAACTCGCTTCTACACCCTAATTTATACCCCCTAATTTCTGCAGGTCTTTGATAACCTTGACGTTAATTTCCAACCCATATATGGAATAAACCTCTTTATTTCCCACAACTAAGATAGGAGAAGTTACCTTATTTTTGTCTACCAACCATAGGTCAATAAACAGCCAGAATATGGTGGATATTTTGACAATGATTATGATTTAACCAAAATATCACTGGGTTTTTTTATGTATAACTATATATACACGTTCATTAACTCTATAGAAAGAGTGAAGTAAAAATTTTGCAAAGAACCAAAATTGTCTCAAGGACCAAAGTGTTACAATGGTGGTATGATAAACAATATATTTTATATTTTTATATTTTAGCTGGTGGTATGACATCGATCGTGAAACCGCAAACAGTATACTGATTCATCCATCTATTAAAATCGGAACGTTTATAGTCCGGAAATCGAGTGGTAAAAATTCTTGTATTTAGTTTATTTAATATTGTGAGTATTGTGAGGTGCCGGGTTCGATCCCGGAGTTGGCCGAGAAAGTTCAGCGGGATTTTTCGGATGTGACTCCCTTTGTGAGTGGTGCAAAACAATGCATAGTCGTTCGGATGTCCTGAAAAATCGAGGTTCCGTGTACACATTGACATGCACATAAAATAACCCTTGACAGTTGGAATTCGAAATAAATGTAGGCCGTAGTGCCGCTGTCAGCGCAAAATTTTCCCCTCATAGCACACTGCATAGCGTATGTCCGTCTTCATTAGCCCAGTCGGATTAGAACAGTAGGTCGTTACGACCCATTTCATGGGTTAGGCTTGGTCCAGGGTTTGGGTTAGGGTTGGGCCAGTCCTGTTTACATCTCCAGGCTTTGACGAAATCTGCATGTCCTAACCCTAACCCCTATACTTAACCCACATTTTATTTATATGACGTCCATCCATATTATGACGTCATATGTGTCTAAATGTGCAGGTCCGTCGCCGATCTAGCGTTCTCCCCGACGATCTTCGCACTAATGTAAAAGTTATTTAGGTATAGATTATTTTATCCAAATATATATATATATATATACAAGGCGTATAGTGTGAATAAATTATTTATTATCTGTTGTAGATTCTAAGAACTATGCATTAAGTGTGCTTACCCGTGAAGAGAATGGAGAACGTTATACCAAACAATATAGAATAGTTAAAGAGGTGGAGGGCGACGGGGACAAATATTATATATCTAAAACCATTAAATTCAGTTCATTGATGAAACTTGTAGAACATTACAAAGGTACCAGTAGTTCTCTACCCAATTTTTTATTTTGTTTTCAGCTTTGCCTGTAATTTCTCTATCGACAAAAGAATCGAGTCTGAAGGGGGTGGGGGGAGGAAATGGGGTTTAATGTCCACTCGACACAAACTAGGTAATTTCGGGAGTAACATATAGTTCGTGGATCTTTAGCCTTTGGGGTGGGGAGGGGGGCCCGGAGAAGACCCACTGGTAAATTGCATAGGGACTGAAATTAACTTTTCTGTGAAGAGTTCCACATTTAGCGTGCTTGGCACGGTTCCCGGTTATTTTAGAGTAATGTAAACAGATCAATTTCTTGATATTTATCGCGGCCTGGTGCCGTGCTGAGGACAGCACGCTTATTGCGGCCAAGTGTAAACGGGACTTATGTTTTCAATAGGCCAGAGCTGGCCTAAACCTTTAAGCAAACTAACCACATGATCCACATGCTGCACATGCCTTGGTCCAAAGGGGTTAAGGGGGCACCGCAGAGTTTCGACTGTGTAACAAATATTTAATTTAATCAAACATACATTTTGCAAGAGCTAAATCTACCTATTGCAGGTCTTTCTTTAGGCCTGAAATGTTATCTAAATTATTAATTAGATATTAATTAGCATATCCAGACCATAATCAACTCTCGATGTCATCGCTAGCCTGCGATATTTCCTGGATTAGAATCCGATTTGCTGCTCAACTTTCATTCATAATTAAATCATGAAATGGATAATCGAGACTGTGTTTTTTTATCGTACCGACTTCAGTAATGATGATCGAGGCTAGGCCGAAAATTCAATCGCTACATTCCCGGTTCAGAGGGGATCAATTTGACTGAAATTTTCAGCAAATTCCCCTTACATTATCTAGTTTTTAACAATTATAGTGAGAACTGCCAACTCTTTATCTAATCTCCCATAATGTTTCTTTAAGACTTTTAAATAGAGTTTCATGGTTTTTGTCTTTTCTTACTGTTGTCTGCTTTGTCTCAATTAATAATGACGTATATAAACCTCATTTTGAGAAATGCAAATTTATTTTGTGGTTTATAATCCACAATTATATATATATAAACCATTATAAACCACAATTATACATATATAAACCATTATAAACCACAATTATATATATATATATAAACCATTATAAACCACAATTATACATATATAAACCATTATAAACCACAATTATACATATATAAACCATTATAAACCACAATTATATATATATAAACCATTATAAACCACAATTATACATATATAAACCATTATAAACCACAATTATATATATATATATAAACCATTATAAACCACAATTATACATATATAAACCATTATAAACCACAAAATAAATTGTTCAAAATGCCTAGGGTCTCCATGGGTGTTAATCCGGCCCTGCAAAATGCCTAGGGTCTCTATGGGTGTTCATCCGGCCCTGCAAATTGCCTAGGGTCTCTATGGGTGTTAATCCGGCCCTGCAAATTGCCTAGGGTCTCTATGGGTGTTAATCATACGAAATTTACACATCACTTTTTTTAAAAAAAAACATTATGTAAGATTACGATAAGAAGCTGGCGGTTCTTGCTATAATAGTTAAAAAAAATACAAAATGAATATATTGAATATTTTAGTCAAATTACTCTATTCTGTGCGAAGTTATCAGGGTTTCAAGTTTTGACAAAAGATTTATTATAAAATATTATTATTAACATTTAAATCAATAAATGGCACCGCTCCAGATTACATATCCGATCTACTTGTCAAACCACAACACTCTCGAACTCTGCGATCGAATGAAAAAACCTCCTTGTCGTACCAAAAGTGAATCTCCAAATGTGTAGACGTTCTTTTAGATATGCTTCATCTGTATTATGGAACTCGATCGATCCTAATCATCCTCTTAAAAACTCCAAATCAACTGACATTTTCAAACGTAGACTTAAAACATATCTGTTCCAGTTGCACTTTGGTACCGAAGATCCATCATAAACTTTGCAAGCGCACCAGGGACCTTGTTACTATGGTGTTTGTGCGCGATATAAATTTCCGTATTATTATTATTATTATTATTATTATAATTATTATTATTATGGTAGCAATGTTAATTGACAATCCAGACACCAAGTCTCAATTATCTGTTTTATTGGAGCCATCCGATATCAACTTAATCAAATTAATTTTTAAATATTTAGGTCAAAGGGGTTGGATGACCGAAAGGTTAGCGCGTCTGCTCTATGTAATAAGGTCTGTCATTGAGTCAACGGGCGTGATTTGGATTCCCCAGTTGTACGTGATAAGGAGTCTGGTCGCCTATCCAACCACTTGAGGTTTCTCCGGTTCCTCCGGTTTTCTGCCACTGCTAATTAAGTACCCCTACAAAATGTTGAAATAAAATTGAACCATATGTGAGTCCCGAAATGACCTAGTTTGTGTCGAGTGGGCGTATTCCTGTCTTGATGCAAGTAGGCCGCTAATCCCATTTCATGTTATATTTTGTATGTTTCAGGGGGAGGTTTGTGTTGTGCGTTATCAGTAGCTTGTCCCAAGATCCGGCCGACAACGGTACCACCATTCAGAGAACTAGAAGTTCATGCAAGCAGCCTTGAATTCAAGGAAAAATTAGGACAAGGTTATTTCGGTGAAGTTTACAAAGGTATTTATTTATTTATTCATATCAACATATATAACACTTTCTTTCAATTTAATAGTCCTTTGTCAGTGGTGCAGGACGGAGGGCCTGACAAGGACAGCTGTCTAGTTGTTCGGATGGGACGAAAAACGGAGGTCCCGTGTACACATTAGCGTGAATGTAAAATATCCCTAAACAGTTTGAATTCGATATAAGAGTAGGCCGTAGTGCCGCTGTCCGGGCAAAATTTCACTCATGGTTCACTGTATGGCGTATGCCACTCTTCATTAGCCCAGTTCGGAGCAGAACAGTAGGACGTTAAACTCCATTTCATTTCAATTCATTTCAGTTTGATTGTAGGTTTCAAACTTTCAAGATCCGTGTGTAAAAATGACCTCATAATTCTTAGCTAACCCGACAATTCCAAACTTTTGTCACCGAAAACATTCCTCGACATTTTACAAGCTGGTTTTCCGTTGTCAATGGTGGGGTGGTGCTTGTAACTAAAATACACTAGATCGTTCGGAAGGGACGAAAACCCAAATCCATCGGCGTACTGCTTGGCGTAAGAGCAAAGAAACCGTTGACATTTCGAATTCGATGAACAGAAATCAGAAACGCTTAATTTCTCCATTAACTCGATTTGTATGTCGGTCGTCATTATTCCAGTTGGTATAGAAATGTAGATCGTTTTAACAATAAACCCCATTAGATGTTATTCCCATTGCCCAATTAATTGCTGGATTGATCGATAATTGAGCTACCAAATCTTTGTGGTGAATGTTTACAGATAGTGGGCCTTAAATCTGGATCTTCTTGTAGGTAGTGGACCTTTAATCTAGATTGTCTTGTAGGTAGTGGACCTTTAATCTAGATTTGCTTGTAGGTAGTGGACCTTTAATCTAGATTTGCTTGTAGGTAGTAGACCTTTAGGAATTACACCTTTCATTTATATTTTCTTGTAGCAATTGTACTTTAGATTTTCTTGTAGAACCATTCCCTGCATTGGGTTGGCTTTTCGTTAAACACAGCTCCCCCCCCCCTCTCTCTCTCCCCCCCCTCTCTCTCTCTCCCCCCCCCTCTCTCTCTCTCTCTCTCTCTCCCCCCCTCTCTCTCTCTCTCTCTCTCTCTCTCTCTTCCTGGAATACATACTGTATCTGTGTCTGGGGTATAATTGACATGTTAAACACAGCTCCCCCCCCCTCTCCCTCTCTCTCTCTCCCTGGAATACATACTGTATCTGTGTCTGGGGTATAATTGACCTGTTAAACACAGCTCCCCCCCCCTCTCCCTCTCTCTCTCTCTCTCTCTCCCTGGAATACATACTGTATCTGTGTCTGGGGTATAATTGACCTGTATGAAAGTTTTTGTTTATTTTATTACTCATATTATTTGTTGTATATTTTTAGGCCGATACAGAAAGATAAAAGATGTAGCCATCAAAACCCTTAAACCTGATAAAATGCCCGAGAAAAAATTTCTAGAAGAAGCTAAATTGATGCACGAATTGTACCATCCTAAATTAGTGACGTTGTTGGCCATCTGTCTGGAGCCTTTAATGATTGTTGCCGAATTCATGCCGAATGGTTCTCTCTTAAGTTATTTACGTAGTGACAGTAGAAAAGAGCTCACATTTGATGATCTTACATATTTTGCATCTCAGGTCAGTATTAGAAGTTTTTCCTCGTCAGTGATTTTCCGGCGTGGTTTCCCCTTGTCAGTAATGCAGGACAGGTGGGCTGACAAGGACAGCTGTCTAGTCCTTCGGATGAGACGAAAAACCGAGGTCCCGTGTATATATTGGAATGCACGTAAAAGATCCCCTGGCAGTTGGAATTCGATATAAGAGTAGGCGATCGTGCCGCTGCCCGGGCAAAATTTCCCTCATAGCACACTGTATGGCTTATGCCCGTCTTCATTAGCCCAGTTTAGGAGCAGAACAGTAGGACGTTAAACCCCAATTCATTTCATTTCATTTCCTCGTCAGTGCTTCCATCTTACACTGTACAACTGAACATCCTTGGAAGCTGTCAGCACATAACCTAATATCATTAATATACAGATCGATATTTCGGTTCGTTTTTTTTATACTTTCGATGGCCTACACTACATTTAGATCTGACCGGTTGTACTGAAAGGTCGCGTCAGGGGTCGTACGCGCGGCCTTTGACCCTAGAACGTCAGACATTGATTAATCAATCGGCGTTGACGTTTCTAGTGGTTTACAGACCGTTTCATTGGCTAATCCCTCAATTTAAAGGACAATATTGGTGTCAGTCATTATCACATATGCGATAGAACTAATTAAACACGTTCCAAATATAATTTTAACACAGAGATCATAGCTACGATAGCTGAGTAATACAGGTTTCCTGAATCGGAAGTGACGAACGCCAAAGGAAAACACGAGCCATCCTCTATATAACTGACTGAAGTGACGAGTGATAACAGATACATGGGCGAACTTCTGCTCACTAATAATTCCTTCGAAGACCAAAAGTTGTTCAGTATAATCATTTTGCATGATCTAATTTTTGAACTATTATTGTAAGAACGATCTAGTTCTTTATCTAAATCTTACATAATGTATTTTAACAAAGTTTGGGGGTGGTTGGTTGTTTTATATTGATAACAATATTACAACTTGATTCCATAGATAGCTCAAGGAATGGCCTTTCTGGAATCAAAGAATTTTATTCACCGGGATTTACGAGCTGATAATATATTGGTTGGTGAAAACAATGAAGTGAAAGTTGCAGATTTTGGTTTAGCTAAATGTTTGGAAGATAAGGGGTCAACGTGCAACTCAGACGGTATGTGATTCTATTATAATTGTTGACCTAGTATTGTAGAGTGTCGCGCTTAGATCGCTAGCTGGTCAATCACCTTTGCTTTAGCTCACGGATGTCGTTTCAAAGGCTTGGAGATAGAGGCGCCGTCTTAATCTTGTAGTTTACTCCTGGGCGAGCTTCGGGTGTAGACTACAGTCTGAACCAGCATCCGAACGCAAATGGCCCGGGAGAGAGAGAGAAATTGGGCTTAACGTCCACTCGACAGAGACTAGGTCATTTCGGGACTAACATATGATTTAATTTTATTTCAATAATTCGCTGTCGCGTAGGGGTCTTTAGCAGTCGGAGGAAACCGGAGGACCTGCAGAAAACCCACGTGGTTGTACAGGCCACAAATGGCCCGGACCATTGACTATTCAATATGGCGGCGCCAATGTCAATTGTTCCGCCTATTTACTCATATATTTGCGTCATTAAGTGTGCTGTGAGTAAGACAATGGTCGTCTGAAGTGTGCTGTGAGTAAGACAATGGGCGTTATGAAGTGTACTGTGAGTAAGACAATGGGCGTTATGAAGTGTGCTGCCAGTAAGACAATGGTCGTCATGACGTGTGCTGTGAGTAAGACAATGGGCGTTATGAAGTGTACTGTGAGTAAGACAATGAGCGTTATGAAGTGTGCTGCCAGTAAGACAATGGTCGTCATGACGTGTGCTGTGAGTATGACAATGGGTGTCATGACCTGTTTTGTGTGTATGACAATGGGCGTCATGAAGTGTGCTGCGAGTATGACAATGGGCGTCATGAAGTTTGCTGTGAATATGACACGGAAAGTTTGTCCGGAAGGCTACTGTTCATTTAATACCAACTGTTAAGGGTATCTCCACTGACAAGGAGTAACCACGCTCAATAATCCGGAGGAACCCTTTCTCGGCCAACACGCATCATGATAAATTGATATTGTATTACATATTTGTTATTTTAGATGCGAAGTTTCCAATCAAATGGACGGCACCAGAGGCTTTTCGGAGACGAGAATTTAGTGTCAAATCAGATGTCTGGTCATTTGGTGTAGTGTTGTATGAATTAATCACTTTTGGTCGCCAGCTATATATAGGTTAGTATATTCACGAACCATGCTACATCTATTAAAGATGCATTAGGTAAATGAAATGAAATGGGGTTTAACGTCCTACTGTTGTACTTCGAACTGGACTAATGAAGACGGGCATACGCCATACAGTGTGCTATGAAGGAACTTTTGCCTGGACAGTAGCACTACGGCCTACTCTTATATCGAATTCCAAGTGTCAAGGGATCTTTTACGTGCACCCCAATGTGTACACGGGACCTCGGTTTTTGTCCCATTCGAACGACTAGACAGCTGTCCTTGTCAGGCCCTTCGTGCATTAGGTAAGATCTTTCGTCGACCTCAAATGTTATAGAAAGCATTAATCTGACATTTATTCATGCACAAGCCAAGTCCATAATCAACTCTGTAGATCATCATATGGTTTTCATTTCTAGCGGATTTAAACACGATTACCAGTTAATAATTTAATTTAAAAATGGATAATCGAGACTTTGTTTATTATTGTAACATAGGTAGCAATGACAATCTAGACTACATTATTCTTGAAACGGCTACTGTCAGCTCTCTATCCCAATCTTACATAATGTACCTTTAAAGTAGCTAATTCTTTAACTCAATATCATCCAAAGTTTTCGACATTGAAAACACGAATTATTTGTCAATTTAAATCAACACTGATGTTGTGATCTTACCGGGAAAGGATGGGCGTCTGATATCCAATATTTAAGACAAAATAAACATTTAAACATTGGTACACGAATCCTGTACCTCTAATGTGTTTCATCGCCATTTGTAACAAGGGACTCGAAGAACAAGGCTAGACATATTCCACGAGTCATGTCAAACGGTGACCCCATATTCTTACCCGGAGAGCATGCTCAATGAATACTATCGGTGTAGAATGGAATAACCAGACGCTAGAGATTGCTATTCAACTTCAATGAGATACTTCACAAAATCCTCTGTCGATTGAGACTTCATACGTATTTCACCGAACATAAATGCTTTGAAAAAAAAAACCGGAAAGAATTGAATGTAAGTCGGTTTATGTACATTCATATTATATTATTATATCCGTTTCGACCGATTTGTTTCAGTTTCTAGGTCCCAAATATTAGCGATTTAGCTCCTTTAAGCCGTGTTTGACAGAAACGAGTTTGAATCTTCTGTTAGTTTTCTCTCTGGTTGAAACTATGAAACGTCCTGGAGGGGTCCTGGTAAGGAACAGCGTATAGTAGTTCCGATGGGAACCAGATCCCGTGAACACATTGACGTGCACGTAAAAGAATCCTTGACAGTTGGAATTCGATATAAGAGTAGGCCGTAGTGCCTCTGTTCGGACATGATTTCCCTCATAGCACGCTGTATGGCGAATGCCCGTCTTCATTAGCCCAGTTGATGCAGAACTGTGGACGTTAAACCCCATTCCATTTTCCATGCAGTGCTCTCTGAGGTAAAAATGGTCCGTCTTTTCAAGTACATGTACGTACCGGAAGCGTGGATTTGCGAGCAAGGCTGACCAATAAATAACGGTCAGATTCAGAGGGTAAATGTCGCCAGGGACCAATCATGGAACGCGCAATTTTCGATTATAGTGCGTGACACCAACGCGAATGCCAATTTTTGAAATAAAAATTTACCATATGTTAGTCCCGAAATGACCTCCTTTCTCCCTCTCTTTAGGTTCAAATGGAAAAGAGGTAATGGCGAAAGTGGAATTGGGTTACAGACTTCCTAAACCAGGCCCACCAACTATGTGTACTGATGCATATTATGGTATAATTATATCATGTTGGAACGAAGAACCGGCAGATCGACCAACATTTCAATTCCTTTTTAATCTCTTTTCTGATTATAAGGTTTCGACTGAGAAAGCCTACCAACCCCCGGAGGTGAAGGAACAAGACGAGTAACATCAGATAAACACGTCACTCATCCCGGTTTCATTCCCTATAAATCTACAATTATTACTAAAATAATTAACTTACAAGCCTTTTCTAAATTATTCGGGTTGGATGGCCGAATGATTTAACGCGTGCGCGTTAGCTTACAAGGTCTGTCGTTATTGTTATTATTATTATCGTTTCATTATATAGCGCTACATTTTATATCAAAACCGCTTCACAAAAACAAGATTAATCATGATACTATTCGAAAAGATTAGTTTTCAATTTACGTTTATATATTATAATACGAATTGGATTGTCTAATGGTCACAGTAAGATAATTCAAGAGTTTGACAGAACTACCGTGGTAGGATAGTTGACTAACTGGTATGTTATATTTTGGGATAGAAAGGTGAGCCCTGTCATCGACTCGTCTTGATTAGATTATCTTTCTATAATATTTACCTAATCAATCAAATCATCTTAAGGTGAAAAATTAATTATTCCTAATCAACAAATATGCCTGATCTCAAATTGGAGCTAAAAACGATGTATAATACATAACTTGGCTGTACACCATGTATAATACAGAACATAGTGTACACGATGTATAATATACATTTTACTGTGCATAATGTACATATGTATATTTAATAAATTGATGTGTATTCTATAAAATGAAATGAAATGGGGTTTAACGTCCTACTGTTCTGCTCCTATGCTGGGCTAATGAAGACGGGCATACGCCATACAGTGTGCTATGAGGAAAATTTTGCCCGGGCAGCGACTATCGCCTACTCTTATATCGAATTCCAACTGCCAAGGGATCTTTTACGTGCATTCTAATGTATACACGGGACCTCGGTTTTCCGTCCCATCCGAACGACTAGACAGCTGTCCTTGTCAGCCCCTCCGTCCTGCATCACTGACAATGAACTTTCTCGGCCAATGCAGGGATCGTGTATTCTATAATTCCGGGTACACAATGTTTATGTATAATAGGGGGGTTGGATGGCTGAATGGTTAGCGTGCGCATGCTGTATCATAAAGTCTGTCATTAAGTCGACTGGCGTGGTTTCAAATCCCCGGTTGTATGTGACAAGGAGAAGGGTCGCCTATCCAACCTCGTGGGTTTTCTCTGGGTCCTCCAGTTTCCTCCCACTGCTAAAGACCCCTACGCGGAAGCGAATTATTGAAATAAAATTAAACCATATGTTAGTCCCGAAATGACCTAGTTTGTGTCGAGTGGACGTTAAACCCCATTTCTCTCTCTCTCTCTTATGTATAATATCCATTGACTTGATGTATATCCAATGACTTGATGTATATCCAATATCCAATGACTTGATGTATATCCAATGACTTGATGTATATTCAATAACTTGATGTATATTCAATAACTTGATGTATATTCAATGACTTGATGTATATTCAATGACTTGATGTATATCCAATGACTTGATGTATATTCAATAACTTGATGTATATTCAATAACTTGGTGTATATTCAATAACTTGATGTATATCCAATAACTTGGTGTACACATTGAGATAGAGAGAGAGAAATGTGGTTTAACGTCCACTCGACACAAACTAGGTCATTTCGGGACTAACATTTGGTTTAATTTTATGAAATAAAATATGTTATTCACGACAAAACGACAAATGTTCTATTTATTTTATGATTTTACAATCATTTTAGGTAAAAACAACTAGCCGGTGGAATAACACTTTTATTTCACTGATAAAATGCGGTATTCCACTACTGATCATAAAATAAATAGATATATTAACTTGATACATTATTACCATTATCATCAATAGTTGTTTTTATATGATCAGTGCAGGACAGAGGGACAGCTGTCTAGTTGTTCGGATGGGACGAAAACCCGTGGTTCCGTGTACACATTGGCGTGCATATAAAAGATCCCCTGGCCGTTGGAATTCGATATAAGAGTAGGCCTTAGTGCCGCTGCCCGGACAAAATTTCCCTCATAGCACATTGTATGGCGTATGCCCGTCTTCATTAGCCCAGTCGGAGCTAAACAGTAGGAAGTTAAACCCTATTGCCATTCCTTAAAGACGCATTATGTAGTAGTTATTAGCACCCTTTCCTCGGTGTATCGGTGAATATCAGGACAGTTTTGGTCGAGGGGCCCAGCCGAGGCGGCCCCCGACCAAAACTGTCCTGATATTCACCGATACACCGAGGAAAGGTGCTAATAAGTTACTTACATCACATTTCTATCGAGTATTGTGAACCAACATGTGAAAAATAGTATTTATCATCGAGTCGTTTCAACCGAAAAGTGACAAATACTTTCTGCTCTTTCATTATTTATCCCTTTCTGAGCCTCACGTTACATTTCATGGTAGAATGATTTCGCTGTGGAGAGACGACCTGAGTAGTATTTACACGTGCGTCTTGCTATGATACTCTGAGCGTAAAACAATCACGTGTTTGTTTAGACCACACCGTCAAAACATCTTATCTATGGCGTAGAGGACTGCGATATTATTAAATGTAGTGTAAAGGAAATGCGAAACGTGGGTCATTCCTGGTGAAAGTATGCATCGGCGGATGGTTCTTCCGTTGAAATTTATTTGTAATAAAGTTTATGACTTTCTAGGCGTTTTTTTCATCCTGCTTATCAATGCCTGTGAAGTGTCCAGCAAGAGAACTGCGCCTTCTATCATCACAATTAATTAAAATAATTATTCAATATTCTAATATATATATTTTGCATATTAATATAAATCAAACCAAATTATAAAATAGATGCCAATTGATATGTATAATAATTGATTTTTGTAATATGTTGTTATGTTAATTTAATGTCATTGTATATGTTTTTGAACTGCCATGTAGTTCCCCCCATTTTGTTTTGTTACTATGATTTTGACTAGTTGTTTCATGTACATTGGTTAGAGCCACCGTCTTCATTTGCGATCTGGATCGGACTAAACGTCCGCTACTGATTGCTTGATAGGTATCTAAAACGGTATAAAAGTATCCGTGTATCAGAAATGATCAGTACTCTTTCTGTACATATCTGATACACGGATACTTTAAAGCATGTATTGCAATTAAACAGGGCAGTTTTATCAAAGGTTGCCAGTGGCAACGAGTAGAAGTGGGATGTAAATAAGAGTTACTTCCAGCTATTGGAGGTCTTTATCTTGGCTTCAAAAGGGATATAAATTATTATTTAGAAATTTATTTGTAGATTATCACCCTATTGAGTCCATGTTCTTTCATCTTGTTATTGCCATGTATGATTTCATGATTTGTTGTCATCATTTTTCAGAAATATCTTTGCCTCACACAATTTGTATCACTGTGATATTTTAATATACAAGTACATTTTTTATGTTTTTACTCATTTTTTTTTGTATTGCTTGTTCATATGTAAATAACTTCATTCACAACATGTCCACAATATCATGTATTGGACTTTACACTCATCAAAACATCAACTAAATAAATTAGCTGGTTTTCCATAACTATGTGTTGTAGTTTATTGTTCAACTATCGAGTCACATTGGCTAAGTGGGTAAGACTCTGGCTCGCTAGCCTGAAAGTAGGGTGTTTTATCCCCGCATTGGCCAAAGAAAGTCCAACTGTAAAGGGTTCTTTTACCTGCAGACGAAAAACCGAGGTCTCGTGTGCACAATATTCAAAATAAGAGTAGGCCACAGCGCCGCTGCCCGTGCAAAATGTCCCTTATAGCACGTCTTTATTAGCCATTTTAACCAATATATTAGGGGATTTTAACCAATGAAAAGACTGCATCTTTAAAATAATTTAACGCATAACAAGACCCCAGTACCGCAAACAATATCCTACGTCACCAAGTAAATCAACATTTGCTGATGGATATCAGGTAAAACAAAACAAGACATCAATATAATATTATTTATTAATTTAGATTCAGGTATTCAACTAACAGCACTTTCAACTCAAAATCATCAACAGAAAATATTTGATGTTACAAAAATCACCTGTAGATGTCCATCATAAAATATTCGAAAAGAAAAAAAGGAAACTATTAGGGCTGCATCAGTTGTCATAGCAACACCCTTACATACTAAAACAAGGGTTTTAATAGAACACTGAACATTGTTGGGATCTGTCCAGGATGTTATAATAATAACCACACTCTTTAGATATTATACACAAGGGCATCACTACAAGACAGGGGTGGGCCAGTAGTGACGACACATCAGAGGACCACAATTCAATGGAATACAATTACGGTTTATTACCCAGAGAGAGGTGAGAAATGGCGTTTAACCTCCACTTAACTAGGTTATTTCAGGACTAATATATATGGTTCAATTTTATTTCAATAATTCGCTTATACATAGGGGTCATTTGCTTGAGAATCCTAGCTAGTCACTCAGTAATAAACAACAATAATCGTATTCTATAGAATACCGTCCTCTTCCGTAATTCCAGTTCAATTGTGTCAATTACTTGAGAATTCTAGCTAGTCAATCAGTTATAAACAGTATGTGTATTCTACAGAATTGTTTATTTCCATTTCAATTTCTAAATACCCAGAAAACAATTAAGCCATGTCTCTGTATACTTCACTAATACGTTAAATTATTTCCATAGATCATGGTAAAATTTACTGTCTGTTGATTCAATCATATCTTTAGGTTTATTATGAGCATAAAAACTTTCGCATGATTGATCAATAAACCGACCGCGAACATTATGATAAGGACGTTTTCCGTACAACGTTCCGGTAATCCATCCAGGATGATTTTTCATCAGTTCGTTTTCTTCATCACGATTCTTTCTACAATGCATCAAATATCTGGAAAGATAAATAATATGGGTTGCCAGCTCGTACAATCTGATTAAAATACAGATCTATATTTCGTTTCGTGTTTTTTATACTTTCGATGGCCTGCGCTACATGAAAATCTGACAAGTTGTACTCAAAGGTCGTGTCAGGGACGGAAGAGTGGCTTTTGACCCTATGATGTCAAACATTGATAAATCAATCAGCGTTGGCGTTTCTAGTGTTTTACCCACAGTTCCATGCATGGCACACCAAGAAGTCGCAGTAACAGAATGTTTCACTGGCTTATCCCACACTTCTTCAACCAAAACGCCATTAATATAACAACTCTTCCAGATCCTAGTGTAGTAAAGACAAGTAAAACGAAATTTTGAACTATAAAAAACGAAACGAAATAAGACCTGTGTTTTAATCAGAATTCCAGCTGCTAAATCATCCCAAATATTTTATAAAGGTTTGGGACGACATGCCAAGGTAGCCCAGTGAGTAAGTTGTCAGCTGAGAAAGTTCCGAGATTTTCCGGCGTGGTTTCCCCTTGTCAGTGTTGAAAGGCAAGGAACAATGCATAGTCATTCGGATGAAATAATACTGTTACTGTATTACTTCATTCCATGAAGGATGCATGGCGTTGATAAATGTATTAAAATATTGCAAATAATCAAAACAAATGCACACTTAACTGTCCCTGTTCACTGAGTCGATCTCAGGTCATGTGAGTGGTGTCGATTCCTTCAAGTGAATAAATGTTCCAATGGTATTCTAATAAAATATGTGGTCCAAAATATTTTTTATGAATACTTTTTTTTATAGTCTTCAAATGGTCCGTTGTGTACGATACATGCTTGTTTTGCCAATTAGCCAACCAAACTGTATGTGACACATCAAAAACAAAGATAGGTTGCCAGGCAACGAAACATACCCCCACAACAGCTAAATCGTCCGGGCAGTCAACAAGAGTTGTCGCATATTTTTACTTTTTTCGGTAATGGAACATTTATAATACACTAAAATCTGATTAGAGCAACAACTCAGAAAACCATTAGAATTTGTTTGGTTTTTATAAAGTTCTGCCCCATTCTAACGTTTTGTATACAAAACTTTTAATACTGTATCATGGATTTAGCTGTTCCAAGTCATAAAAATTCACTGAAAATCAATATACTTGTTCGCCTCAAGATCTTAAACTCTGTGTATCAATCTGAAGTCTGAGCGGTGTTGTGCAAATTTTGTTGTTGTCTGACTTTCAAATAAAAAAGTTTGAGGCATGTTTTTTGGAGGCTGAGCGATGCCTTGATTTTGGTGTTTAATGTCAGCTTCCACTAAGGATGTATGATATCGCAGACAAGTTGTCTCATTTTAATTATCAATATATTTAGTGCTCCGAACCCGGCTAATGGTAATGGAGACGGGCATACGACATATAGTTTGCTATGAGGGAATTTTTGCCCGGGCAGCGGCACTATGGCCTACTCTTATATCGAATTCGAACTGCCAATGGATCTTTTACGTACACACCAATGTAACATGGGACCTCGGTTTTTCGTCCCATCCGAACGACTAGACAACTGTCCTTATCAGGCCCTCCGTCCTGCATCACTGACCAGAGGAAACACACCGGAAAATCTGGATGAACTTTATGGGCCAATGCAGGGATCGAGCTTTCGACCTCCAGGCTAGCGAGCCAGAATCCCTAGAGTATACCCACAAGGTTTAGAAAGTGAGAAAAAAAACATTTTATTTTTGTGGCCTTAACTTACAATCTGTGTCTTTCTGCTTCAATTAATGGATAAACTGCAATTCTTGCTTCCCTCATTTCCAACATTTCTCTCCTGTAATGAGACAGAAAACGGGTTTAACATCTTAACAGTCATTTCGGGACTAACACATGGTTCAATTTTTTTTTTCAATAATTCGATTGCGCGCAGGTCTTTAACAGTCGGGGGAAACCGGAGAAAATCCACGAGGTTGGACAGACTACCCTACTCCTAGGAATCGAATCCATGCCACTTGACTCAATGACAGACCTTATGATCTAAATGCATTAAAGCATTCTTCCACCCAACCCCTCAGATCTCAATGATAAAACCCACCACTGTCATCAGCTATAAAAGACAAGGGGAATAACTACCTTCTTACTAATTCACCTCGATACCAAATAGCCCAGGATGCCAGAGTAAAGCCAGTAAATACAGAGAACTGCTTATACCCTGAAAAATATCAAATTAAAAAAAGAATTAGTAGGTGATAAGTAAACCATTTACAAATGGCCATGGCCATATAAATACATTTTTGAAACAGAGTTTTGAAAAATATGCTAGTTTTCTCGAGGAGAGATATGTTTTCTAATCCCATTTGTAATTTAGTTCCAGAGATTTTTTTTTTTCATTGTCCTCCATAAATCCCATTGCAACAGTGGTTGTTGTTTGTATTTTAGAGGAGAGCCGAAAAAGGTTTCCCTTAATGAACAAAATGAAAATATCGCTCCCCTAAAAAAAGATCTATCAGTTTCGATAAGAGTGATTTAGAAATTAAGGAGAGTGATTTGATTTAAGGACAGTGATTAGTTGTGTGTACATGTGAAATGAAATGGGATTTAACTTCCTACTGTTCTGCTCCTAACCTGGGCTAATGAAGACGGGCATACACCATACAGTGTGCTATGTGGGAAATTTTGCCCGGGGAAGTGGCTCTACAGCCTACTCTTATACTGAATTCCAACTGCCAAGGGATCTCTTACGTGCACGCCAATGTGTACATGGGACCTTGGTTTTCCGTACCATTCGAAGGACTAGACGGCTGTCCTTGTCAGGCCCTCTGCCCTGCATCACTGACAAGGGGAAACCACGCCGGAAAATCTGGATGAACTTTCTCGGCCAATACAGGGATCAAACACACGACCTCCAGGCTAGCGAGCCAGCATCTTACCCACTTAGTCACGTGATCCCCCTGTTTGTACATGTACATGTATGAGAAATGCTTCTGAAGATCAATAACTTCCATGTTAGGGGGGTCATTCCTGGTTTCATAAATGATAATAACTCCCCCCCCCCCCCATGACCTGTAGGTCAGGGCTTGCCACGAGCAAATTGGAGGCGAGTAGATGACTACTCACGCAAATATAGACTTGCGCGAGTGAGGCGAGTACATGTATTTACTCCCGCAGAATGATGTGCGTGAGTAGCCATTTAAATTTCATGAGCCTAATGGCAATGCTCTTGTCACTTCGGTGGAAGCGGACGTTGAATAAAGCTGTTTCACACACAATGACAATGCATACTCTTTTATTTCCTTGGCAAAAAAAAATATCTGTAAATCGTCTTCCCATGACAAGAACGTTGCAAGAGAAACTGGGCTTCCCTTTGCCATCGTTGGCGTGCTGAGGGGATTCAGGTAAAGCTTAGAAAGGTAAAAGAACAGGCAAAACAATTTCAATCCCATCAATTTGCAGAAAAGATGCGGGATCGAAAGAATTGCTATTAATAGAAACGACAACATCCGCTCAATGTTTGATTATCCAGACACGGCAAAGGACATCCGCTTAAAAACCGCCTGGCAGTACGCGTCTCAAAGTATTTTTAGTAACAACAGTTGGCACTGGAAAGACACGCCGCATGCGCAATAGTGCATCGATATGAAGGCATACAAATTGTTTACGGCTTTTTATATTACGATATTCAATTATTTCTGATTAAATTATTTTTTATATTTGCGCGAGTACTTATCACTCACGTAAATTTGGTTTTACGCGAGCGTAGCGTGCGCGCGAGTAATTACTCGCGTCTCGTGGCAAGTCCTGTAGGTCCTGTGTTCAATCCCAGTGTTGGCCAAGAAAGTTCCCCCTTGTCAGTGGTTCAGGACACACTGCCTGACTAGCAACCACTTTAAGTCGGTCGGAAGGGACAAAAAAAAAAAAAAATGAAGTCCCATCATGTAGGCGCTACGCTTTGGCTTGCAATGCTGTATGTAAAAAAACAGTTGACAGTTGGTGTATGCCCATCTTCATTATCCCAGTCGGTGCAAAAAAGTAGGACATTAAGCTCCATTTCATTTCCTTTTAGTAGAGATTCAATTGAACCTATGTAATGACAAGCTAAGGGTGTCAAGAAGAGATTCAAAATCCCTGTTCACTTGTCGAGGTCACTGATAAGAAATTTTAACAATTGCTTTGAATTTAAAGAAAAATGTAACTGCTTTGCTAATGCTGGAGGGATTCACATTAGCTATATGACTAACAGAACCGATAGAATCTTAATCACTGTCCTGTCGTAACACCGGTCCGGTGTATGTTATTGAGGCAGATCATGATATGCAGAGGGCAAACAGGACATTCCTAAATCGTTGCAAACTTGTCAGACAATCAGTTTTTAATGAGAGAATTGATTGTTCGAAATGTAATTTACCACTCCATTTTGGTTTGGGTACACCTTTGGTCCATTCAATAGGACCAAACCCCCCTTTCGGGGGCATTTCTTGCTTAAAAGTCCTGGAAGCCATCTTACTACATTTCTTTCCAGGTGGCGCTGACACTTTTCCGCTGTGGATGGATTATATAAAATATGGACAAGGAACATCTAAACTTGAGTGTGTATAAAATGTAGAGGCGCATCAACACATAATCAATTGGCTCACCACATAATCTAACGGAACGTGAAATTTCTAACAAATCCCAATTATAATCTGTATAAAGGGAAATAGAATTAAACTTTAAATTTCATACTGTAACAATATTTTTTTGTATAATGCTAAAAAGACTGAATCGATTCAGTAGGCTGAAAACAATCGGCAGTGTTTGGTTACTGATCTTGTAAACTTCACGTGACAGTTTTATCATGTGATCATATGATTCAGAAAATGGCGTCTGCATGTATTGTGAAAATGAAGTTCGCATCACTGTTGATTGTTTTATGGTACTTTGCTACATCTTTATGTCTAGCAAAAGAACCATCTAATGCAAGGAAGGTATGATTAATATTCAGAACTTTATTTTTGATGCCCGAAAAGAGTTTATCATTGAAAAAGTTATTATAGGTGCTAAATAAATCTCTATTTTTAGCACCTAGTAGTAATTTAAAGAAATTGACACAAATTACAAATGAGTCGCAACAGCATATAATAATGTAATATGAATGTATATAAACTGATTTACGTTCAATCGTTTCTCTTTTTACTGTAATTTCTAATCAGTTATGTTAGGCGAAATACACGAAAACTAGAAATTAATAATTATATATGCAGCCTTTGTCTTCTGGTTAGTCCAGTCTACACTAGTACTGGTAGTATTCTCCCGTGGGCAGTGATAGATTATGTAGTTGCAGGGCCCTGACACACTGTAGCTCACGTACCCCAGTGATACCAATTCACCCTGTGGGGGAGGGGGGCTGGGTTCTCTCTCTCCGCTGGGTTGAAGGGGGTCTGGCATTCTCCCCTGAGAAATTTTTTGAAAATTCGACCTGAAATGGTGGCCTGTGTCATATATCCCGTGTGGGAAGTCATATATTTAGTTCTAAACAATTAGTGTCGATCTAGATTATGTAGGGTTTTGGGCAAACATTGCGAACAAACAAACATCAACAACATGGTCATCAAATGAGAAAGTATATTATAATAATATCAAACATCTGACAGATTACCAGTTATCAACAGTTCTTCATGACACACATGATATATACGACAGAGGCCGACCGACGCTGTCTTCCCTAGTATTCAGCCATAGCTGACCCCCAGTGTAACGTCGCACGTACAGCTTAACATATTACGTAAAGTTATTAAAGAGATGTACAATGCATAACTGTATAAAGCAATACCCACAATTAGTAATCTGAATGAAGTTGTTGCAGATCATGTTTCTGAATAGTTTAGAATTTGTTTCTTCAGGACTATAGGCTACTCATGGCATGTAGGAAGTAATATGATGACATGGAATATTGATTATCTAATAGGATGTCATATGATGTCATGGAATATGAGTTATGTAAATTGATGTCATGGAATATGAGTTATGTAAAAGGATGTCATGGATTATCGGCTATGTAAAATGATGTCATGGAATATCAGTTATGTAAAAGGATGTCATGAATTATAGGTTATGTAAAATGATGTCATGGATTATCGGCTATGTAAAATGATGTCATGGAATATAGGTTATGTAAAATGATGTCATGGTGTATTAAATATGTAAATTGATTTCTGGGTTACGGTGAAATGACACGAATAATAATAGGCAGGATATATTTATCAATACTATTTGTTTTATTTCCCAGATAACCACACGTTTAAATCCAGATTGTGACGTACCTGAATGTCAAGATGGGTATAATGGAAGTTACGCTAATATCGCTCATATTAAAGCCGTTGGTAGCGAGGATACACTACATTATGTTATTAGCACTATTGGTGTTCCCTCTGTCGTAGTCATACGAGCTGATCCCACCAGTAGTCTCAGTTTTAATTGGAAGAATTTACTGTCTGACAACGCCACAGATCGATCTGGATCAATTACTTTAACTGGCACAGCTTTAAAGAACTCTTTTGCGGTTGTATTTACAGAAGTAAGTATATATATACTGTATCAGTCGGTGAATTGAAATAAAGGGGGCAGGGGGGTCACGTCAGACAAATAAAGGGGTGTTGGGTCACGTCAGACACGTCTAATGGTTTAGCGCATGACATTGAGTCAGGTGGTGTGGTTTGGATTCCTTGCTTGAACATGACAACGAGTAGGGTTGCCTGTCGTCCAACCTTGTGGGTTTTCTCCGGGTCCTCCGGTTTCCTGCCATTAATAACAACCCCTACGCACAAGCAAATTATTGAAATAAGAAATTGAACCATATGTTAGTCCCAAAATGACCTAGTTTGTGTCTAGTGGACATTAAGCCCCATTTCTCTCTCTCTCTCTCTCTCTCTCTCTGTCTCTCTAACTAGGGCATGTCGGGACTAACATATGGTTCAATTTTATTCAATGATTCGAATGTGCTTAGGGGGCCTGGAGCACCCGAAGGAAACCCACAAGGTTGTACAGGCTACCCTACTCCTTGGTCATGTTCACATTTAACCATTCCCCCTAGAATGACTTTGTTGGGTGGCGTGGGGGAAGGGGTTGACTATATAATTCAGAATATTTCTATTTTACAGTCTGATTAAAAAAAACACAGTTTCTGTTTCGTTTCGTTGGTTATAGTTCAAAATTTCGTTTTACTTGTCTTCACAACACTAGGATCTGTATGAGTTGTTATATAACAGGTGTTCTAGTTGATATGGGGAATTAGCCAATGAAACAGTCTGTTACGGCGAGTTCTTGGCGTAAACCCCTAGAAACGTCAATGCTGATTGATTAATCAATGTCTGACGTCATAGGTTCAAAAGCCGCTCGTATGACCCCTGACGCGACCTTCCACTACAACTGGTCAGATCTTCATGTAGTAGAAGTCATCAAAAGTATAAAAAAATGAAACGAAATATAGATCTGTATTGTAATCCGATTGTCTAACAGTTTGAAATGATATTTTTTATTTTATCTCCGTGTTTAGTTGATCGAGTATAATGACGTGGATGATAAAGCGACCATTAGCTCATATTTCCATGGAAACACAACCACTACAAATTATACAATTCACGATTTCGGTGAGATGATGTGGTCGGAAGTTGCAACAGTACCTGGTAATAAGAACTCAGCAATATTTAGTCATACTGTTTTCAAGAATGATTCGGATGTCAAGAAAGCTGAAGGATTCCTGTCTTTTACGGTAAAAGATTTATCAAAATGAGATATATAATGCCAAAATGCTGTCTCTCGTGTGTATGTTGCAAGTCGCTATAATTGTTTTCATTTGATTAAACAGTGTACTTGGGCTTCTTCCACTTGGATATAGGGAGGGGTCGCATGGTGGAATGGTTAGTGCATGCACGCTATATCTTAAGGTCTGTCATTGAGTCAACTGGCGTGATTACGATTCCCTGGTTGTACATGACAAGGAGTAGGGTCACCTCTCCAACCTCCTGTTTCCTCCCACTGCTAAAGATCCCTACGCGCAAGCAAATTATTAAAATACTATTGAACCATATGTTAGTCCCAAAATGACCTAGTTTGTGTCGAGTGGACGTTAAACCCCATTTCTCTCTCTCTCTCTCTCTCTCTCTCTCTCTCTCTCTCTCTTTGGATATAGGGAGCCACAGTGACTCAGTGAGTAAGACATTGGCTTACTGACCCGGAGGTTCGGTGTTCGATCCCGGTGTTGGCCGAGAAAGTTGACTGACCCTTGTCAGTAGTGGAGGACAGAGGGCCTGGCAAGGGACAATGTTTAGTTTTTCAGATGGGACGAAAACTCAAGGTCCTGTGTACACATTGGCATGCCTCTAAAATTTCCTTCATAGCACACTGTATGGCGTATGCCCGTCTTCATTAGCCCAGTCGAAGAAGAACAGTTGGACGTTAAACCCCATTTCATTTTTCCTTATAGGCCTGTTTTAAATTTGATTAAATCTAAGTCGGGAGATTATCTCGCGTTGTTATTTTGAATTTGTTGAATTAAATAATAAATAATCAATCTGACTAAATATTAGGCTTGAGAAATTTGATATTTTAGAAAGGGGGGTGGGGGGATGGCTGAATGGTTAGCACATGCGTGCTGTATCATAAAGCCTGTCATTGAGTCAACTGGCATGGTTTTAATTCCCCGGTTGTACATGACAAGGAGTAGGGTTGCCTGTCCAACCTTTATGGAAAGAAATAAATTTTAACCATGTTAGTCCCGAAATGACCTAGTTTTTGTCAAGTGGACGTTAAACCCCATTTTTCTCTTTCGATATTTTAGAGACAAATGCCAATTAAGGCACATGGTTACCTTGTAAGAAAATACAAATTTCTTCCTTTTTCTTTTCAGTTTAATGCCTATGACAATACTGGACGACAAAGTGTTTTACCTAAGATGGAGTACAATATGAACAATACATTATTAGATTTACTGTTAAATAATTTGACAGCCATGTATGATAAATCACGATTTTCTGTTGGCGTGGTGATGATTGGAACCAGTCAAGATAAACCTGACATTACGGAAACAAGATCTCTGGATGACGAATATACTCCAGGTGTATTTAAGGTAATTGTAAATACATCCCTAACCTTATGATCTTGTAATGGTTAATTTCAAAAGTAATGAGTAATAATTATACTGAGCGCCATGGAAAACGCATCACTTTTTTTTCCCAAATATTTTATTACTAGGTGGTTTTGTATGTATAATATTATGCAATACTATGAACTATTGTTTCACACAATGCTCCAAACGCAAAAAATATCGGCCCGTGTGCAAAAAAATTTTGCAATATTCACGTGCAGCATTGTGTGTAGGCCCTTTAAAAGCATGTTTTCAATTTAATGTGCAGTACATGAGCTGTGAAACGTCAATCTGTCGTAATTTTTTGTTGGACGTGTGAAGGAATCGAGCTAGAGATGCCGAGACTTACTGAAAATCAACGGAATGAAGCCATGGGAATGTCCAGGGCTGGCATGTCTACACGTGCTATTGCCAGACACTTCAATTGTCATCAGTCCACTATTGTAAGGTTGGTAGAACGTGTTCGAGTTACTGGATCAACACGTGACTGTCAACGTCCTGGTCCACAACGCTTACAACCCAGGCTCCTGACCGCTACATCCGGGCCACTCATCTGCGTGACAGATTCCGCCCAGCGACTCGAACAGGTGCAGCAGTCGTCGGAAGACAAGGACCAGTAAGTGCCAACACTGTAAGACGTCGTTTAAGAGAAGTAGGACTCCGTGCACGACGTCCTTATGTTGGAGCTATCCTCAGGGATCATCACCAACAGCGGCGTTTGATATGGGCTCAAGGACACCAGACATGGAGAAAAGTAGACTGGCAAAGTGTGCTCTTCAGTGATGAGAGTCGCTTTCATCTTTATCACGCTGATGGTCGTCAACGTGTGTGGAGACGTCTTGGGGAACGTCTTGCAGACTGCTGCGTCTTCGTAACGAATCGATGGGGTGGGGGAAGTGTAATGGTGTGGGGAGGCTTCACATTTCATCACCGGACCGCCCTACACATTTGCAGGGGTCGCGTTAATGATGTAGCCTACCGTGATGATGGCCCGTGGAGGACACACGCGCTACTGATATCTGTGTCATACTTTTGGTTTTGACCCCTCTGACTTTGTACCCTTGATTACAGATTAAACATCCATAAGTGTACAAATGTGTTGTTATTGATGTGTTCCCATTTGAATATTGTTCACAATAAGAAGCAAAATAAATAAGATATGTTTACAGGATCATTTTGTTATACGAAAAACTAAGTGATGCGTTTTCCATGGCGCTCAGTATACATGCCTAACCTCATGGGTTTTCTCTGGGTCTTCTGGTTGCCTCACGCGGCTAAAGATCAAGAAGCACAATTGGATTAGTGAAATAGGATTGAACCATATGTTAGTCCTAAAATGGCATAGTTGTGTCAAGTGAAGTAAAACCTATATCTGGTCGAGAATTTTTTAAGCCAGGTTTTTCAGATGGTACCAGAAGGGCTGACGATGAAAGTGAACATATTAGATTGTATCGGATGAAAATTCGAGGTCCATTAGTATGCACGCTAAAGATCTCTCGGCATTTGGAATTCTAGAAAAAGTAGACAAAAACGATGCAGTCCGAGCAATATTTTCTTCAAAGCACACTGTATGGTATATGCCTGTTTTGGTTACCCCAGTCACTGCAGAAAAGTTAATATGAGATGTTCAGAAGTTTTCATTCCTGGTTCTTACTTGTCGTGTACCTACAAGGAGTAGAAGAGAAAGGGAAAGGGGTTGAACAGCCGTCTCTGCTTCTTCTCATGTACAAGCAGAGAATTGAAACCATGCCACTTGACGCATTGACAGACCTTACGGTTTCTCGCACACGCGTTGTACCACTAAACCATCTAACTCCCCTCTTGGCAACTGGAATTCGACAAAGAGCAGGAAAAAAAAAATGCTGTTAAGGCCCATATGACATACCCTTTTTGTTGGCCCTGTTATATTAAACCCCATTTAATTATATTTCCTGCTTCTACACACATTATAAGGTACTCAAGATTCCTTGGCAGTCATTATCTACAAGGGTGGTTGGATGGCCAAATGGTTTAATTAGCACGTGCGTGCTGTATCATAAAGTCTGTCATTGAGTCAACTCTCGTGGTTATATTCCCCGGTTGTACGTGACAAGGAGTAGGGTCGCCTGTCCAACCTCCGGGTTTTCTCCGGGTCCTCCAGTTTCCTTCCACTGCTAAAGACCCCCTATGCGCAAGCGAATTATTGAAATAAAATTTAATCATATGTTAGTCCCGAAATGACCTAGTTTGTGTCGAGTGGACGTTAAACCCCATTTCTCTTTCTCTCATTATCTACAAATGTACGTATTAATATTTTTTTTTAATGCAGATGTTTGATTGGTCCACGAAGCCTTGTTTAAAAGAAGATGGTGGGTATTTAGAATGGAAACCGATTTGTTATACGTCATCCTCTAGAAACAGATTATCAGGAACGTATGTCAACTCGGACGATAGAACCGATGGCATGAACCAAAAACATTATCTCGAAAGAAGTGTAGCATATTCGTATTTTGGTGATAAACTGTTTTCTGCCGACATGACAACCAGCGGTACCAATATATCGTTTGGTCTGTCGGAAGATGGATTCTATGTTAAGAAAAATTACACAGTTTGGTGAGTTTTATTTCATTTTATTGTCATGTGGTTGGATTATAAAACAAATCTATCCTAGATTTTTGAATCAGGAATTTGAGCCCAAAGGGCTAGTAGTGCTGGATATTGCCCTTCCAGTCACCATACGATATGTATTGCGATTCAGGGGCTACGATACGATTCGTATCATGTTTCATAACCAGGTCAATATTTACCAAGAAAACAACAGGATAAATGAATAATTGATATTTTTAGTCCTGTGTCATAGTCGAAGAAATAAAACTGTTTTATATCATGATACTGAAGTGGATCAAATTAAGGATCGAAACAATTTAAGGGTGTACCTATGAATAATGTGTAACCTGGATAATTAAGAGTGACAGGTTACATACCGAAGCATAAAAATTATAAATAAGAATCATGATACATCGATTCAGTGTCTTGCGATTCAATACGCAGATCATGAGAAGGTGATTCAAAATACATAGATTTGACGATATATAATGCCCGTACTAACTTATCTTCTTATTGAGTCTGACGCTTCTCGAAAAAAACATCACCAATAGGTCTCTTTTAGCTATAGGGGGAGAACCGGAGAAAACCCGCAAGGTTGGACAGACGACCCAACTCCTTGTCACACCACATGACTCAATGACCTAAACAAATCAGACTCCCGTAGAAGATTGATTGTATTATTTTATATTGTAGGAGTGCTACGATTGGTCACGGTACTCCACCACAGGATGCCATTTCTATTTTGGTGATTGGCGTTATATCGGCTGGTCTTGGTCTTCCAGTAGTAATCATTTTATTTGGTGGAATTTTTGTCATTGTGAAGAAACATATGGCCAAAAAGGACCAGGTAATGGGAAACTTTTCAAACAGTTATTCACAAATCAACTCCTAAACACAGCTGTATCCATAGCAACTCCTAAACACAGCTGTACCCATAGCAACTCCTGAACACAGCTGTATCCATAGGAACTCCTGAACACGGCTGTATCCATAGCAACTCCTAAACTTAGCTGTACCCATAGCAACTCCTGAACACAGCTGTATCCATAGCAACTCCTAATTCACAGCCGCTCACAGAAACTTAACCTGCCTTCAAATCATATCCCATACGCATATTTTTTTTTCTTGTCCATATTCATCAAATCAAAATCATAAAAACATTTTTCAATACACTGCAGTCTATTAAAGATACATTATGTAAGATTTAGATAAGCGCTGTCCTTTCTTGTTATAATAGTTCAAAATAGATAATGCTAAATGAATATAATGAAAATTTCATTAAAATTACTTTATTCTAAGCAAAGTTATCAATATATGAAGTTTTGACAAGATGTGTCAATTGATTGTTTATTATCGTAACCATGGTACTGGTATAGTCAAGGCTTAGCCACACATTTCTACTTTTAAATTAAATCATTAAATGACCGATCCGTTCTAATCTAGTTAAAATCGGAGCCATCCGATGACAATGAGGGTTGATTATGGTCTTGTCATGTTAGTCAATGTCTAATTAATAATTTATATAACATTTAAGACCTAAAGAAAGGCAAATTTTGCTCTGGAATAATGTATCTTTAAAAATAAAAAATAAACAAAATTTGGTATACACAGATCATAAATGCAATTCTTCATAAATTTTGTATATGGGATCTGTGGTATATCATAATGTATTACCCAGGTTTAGGGTTAGGGTTATGAATTTTCTTAGACTGCAGTTTATTTGTTATATTTATTCGCACTGAAGTCACATGTCCTCAATAAATCAGATATGTTTATATATTCCACCTTAGTAAATATTCAACTTTTAACTTAGTGTAAATATTCAACTTAGTAAATATTTAACTTAGTAAATATTTAACTTAGTAATATTCACTTAGTAAATATTTAATTTAGTAAATATTTTATTTAGTCAACATTTAACTTAGTAAATTAAATATTTAACTTAGTAAATATTCAACTTAGTAAATATTTAACTTAGTAAATATTCAACTTAGTAAATATTTAACTTAGTCAACTTAGTAAATATTTAACTTAGTAAATATTTAACTTAGTAAATATTCAACTTAGTAAATATTTAAATATTTACTAAGTTAAATGTGAATAATTAGTTTAAAGGCCAGACTGCCACTTGACTCAGGTGAAAAATGTTTAGTTTCAAATCTCAAAACTTAAAAATTTGGAGCTAAAGCTTTTGAACAGTGCAACCAAGTACTTTTGGTTTTTAAATTAGTTTTTTCTGGAAGAAATGAAAAGGAAAATATTAACAGTTTTTCTGAAGATCTGAAAATCAAAATGAGGTGGGTGTGGCCTTAAATGTAAATATTTTAATTTAATGAGAAAGCAGGGGACTATTAAAATGGGTTCGTCTGTCTGTCTGTCTGTCCGTCACACTTTTTTGGACACAATAATTCTCCTTCTAATTGACCTAGAATGTTCAAACTTGGTTGAGGTGTTTATTAGGTCAATGCCTTGATGGAGTTCGAAGATTAGCATTTTTGGCTTAGGGTAAGCAGAGATAAGCAATTTGATTGGTTGATGCTTTAGGACACGATAACTTTAGTTCTAATAAAGTGAGAGTGATGAAACTTGGTGTATAGTTTCATTACATCAATACCTTGACTAAATTCGATAATGAGCATTTTCTGCTCAGGGTAAGCAGAGCGATAAGCAATTTGATTGGCCGAGACTTTGGAACACAATAACCCTCCTTCTAATTGAGCTAGAATGTTCAAACTTGGTGTAGGTGTTTATTAGGTCAATGCCTTGATGGAGTGCGAAGATCAGCATTTTTTGCTTAGGGTAAGCAGAGATAAGCAATTTGATTGGTTGATGCTTTGGAACACGATAACTTTAGTTCTAATTAAGTGAGAGTGATGAAACTTGGTGTATAGTTTCATTACATCAATACCTTGACTAAGTTCGATGATGAGAATTTTCTGCTTAGGCTAACGAGCAATAAGCATTTTGATTGGTCAAACTCTTCTTATAATTGAGGTAGAATGTTTAAACTTGATGTAGATGTTCGTCTTGACTGAGTTCAACAACTCTTCTTCTAATTGAGGTACAATGTTTAAACTTGATGTAGATGTTCGTCTTGACTGAGTTCAATGATTAACATATCGAGCTAAAGCTAAGCAGAGATAAGCAATTTCCTGCTCTGGGACAAGATAACTTTGATTCTATCTGATAGAGAGTGATGAAACTTAGTGTATAGTTGATAATCAGTTTGATTGCTCGATACTTTGGAAAAAAAAAGATGTGCGATTAATTAATATGTGTCATCTATTTATTTGGGGATTTCGGCGGGGGACATCAGCCTCACTGTTGGCTTGTTTAATATGTAAATAGTATGAGCTTGTTATTTCAAATTGATGTAACTTAAGATATCTATATTTAATTTGTATAATATGTAAATATTAGAAGTTTTTTTATTTCATTAATTATATTATTTTGTAAATGTTTTCTGTCTCTACGGCAATATCAGGGCATTTTGATAAAATCCTTCAAAGTTCTTGGTTCATTAATATATTGTGATGCAATGAAACTTCCTACTGTTCTGCTCCGACTGGGCTATTGAAGACAGTCAGAGGCCATACAGTCTGCTATGAGGGAAATTTTGCCCGGGCAACTTCACTATGGCCTACTCTTATATCGAATTCCAACTGCCAAGGGATCTTTTACATACAAGCCAATGTATACATGGGACCTCGGTTTTTTATCCCATCCGAACGACTAGACAGCTGTCCTTGTTAGACCTCCTGTCTTGCACCGCTGACAGGGATTGATTTAACCACCGTGGCTCCTATATACTGTGATAATCAAATGGTTTTATTAGTTGAGAGTAAATTATTCGGAATGTAAACACTCTAGACCAATACCATAACCTGTGAGAATGATTGATCGCCTAAAATCACCACACATCACCACACATAAAATTAGAAATAACAATTTTATGGTGCTGACATTATGGTATATAATGTGGCAACACCTAAACAACCAGAATTTGCCCTTGCGTTAATTCAAGTGGGCATGAGTACCAAAGCTAGAGTCTGATGGTTTCCAGCAGACAGGCTCTGCTACAGATCGGCCTGGGGAGACAGAGTTTCCAGCAGAGAGGCTCCACTACTGATTGGCCAAGTCCTGGACGGCACTGTTTGACATGTCTTAATCAGAGCAGCACATTATCTGGCCAAATCTATTGGTTCGCTTGCTGTCAGCTTGCCACACTGTAGACACTGTCTACGCTTGTCAGACTACATGTTGCCAGCTTGCCAAGTTCATCAGGATTTTCCGACATGGATAGCTGTGTAGTCATTCAGATGGGACAAAAAACCAAGGTCCTGTGTATACATTGGCGTGCAAGTAAAAAATCCTGCGGCAGTTGGAATTCGATATAAGAGTAGGCCATAGTGCTGCTGCCCGGGCAAAATTTCCCCTCATAGCACACTGTATGGCGTATGCCCGTCTTCATTAGCCTAGTCAGAGCAGAACAGTAGGACATTAAACCCATTTCATTTTATTTTAATAAATGTATTTTGTAAGCTACTCATCACCTTCCCTTGTAGAAGCACATGCTGCCTATGTTAGATGCATACCATTACAATTTCCCTATTCTCTTTCTAATAGAGAACATTCCAATTTTTTTGCAGTAACCGTTTTTTGAGTTGTTTTTTTTAAAGTTTAATTAAATTTTATAAAAAAGAGAAAATATTTTTTATTGCCAATTACAAATAACTGTATTCAAGTGTATTGGGGCCATGGTGGATCAGTGGGTATGGGGGCCACGGTGGATCAGTGGGTATGGTGCTGACTCACTTCGATCTCGGAGTTGGCCCCAAAAGTTCCTCGGGATTTTTCAGTCTGATTTCGTGGAGGGGGAAAGAGCCTAGTACTCGTTGTTGTGCACGTTAAAGAACCCTTTTGACAATGGGAATACGTTGAAGAGTAGGCAAAATCACTGCTGGATGGGTATAATTGACCTCATTGTGCTTGGCATAAGGTTAAACCCCATTTTATTTTTAGTTTATAAAAGTAGAGTTATTTCCCTTACACTATTTGTATTAGTCTGTTTCTTGTAGCTTTATTTAGGTGGAGAAAAGTAGGATTTTAAAACCCAATTCACTTCTTTTTCTATGATTCTATGATAAGGGCTGGATATACCTACTTCTGGGCCCCAGGTGGAACTGGCGTGACTGGCGTGCACTTGAAATAATTTTATACGCTGTCACCCTGGACCCTCAGATACCGTACTATGCATATTGGTAAAGGTGTGGTTGGATGGTTGTTTGGTCTAAGGTGTGCGCTGCAGATCATAAGGTCTGTCTTTGAGTCAAGTGGCGTGGTTTCGATTCCCCGGTTGTACATGACAAGGAGTAGGGTCGTCAGTCCAATCTCATGGGTTTTCTCCAGGGCCTTCGGTTTCCTCCCACTGCTAAAGACCCCTACGCGCATTTGAATTAAATCTTACCCTGGCTACCAACACCTGTAAATAAATGCGCAATTCTTTAAAATTCTTTTTTTTTATTTTTGTTACCTGTAACTAGGAGTTGGAGGAAAGATAGAAGAAGAAAAATGGACGGTTGCCAGGTGTTAGTTAATACTACTCTTTTTACTTGGTTTTAGTTAAAGATACATTATGTAAGATTTAGATAAACAGCTGACTGTTCTCGCTATAATAGTTTAAAATAGGTAATAAAAAATTCAAATATTGAAAATTTCAGTCAAATTACTTTATTCTGAGCTAAGTTCGTTCGTTCATTTCTGGAGTTTTGCGTCCACTTCCACCAGAGGTGATATGATTGACAAGCTGAGTGAAGTTATCACTGTTTGAAGATGTTGCGTAGGTCGTTTATTATCATAGCAACAGCACTTGACAACCTATGGTGTTCATAGCTCTTACATAATGTATCTTTAATACTACTCTGATTAGTTGGTTTTGTCCTTAGAAATATTTTGTGATAAAAATATAAATCTTTTCAAAAAATGTTTTACCGACATGCCTAGTGATAAGGAACCTGTCAGTCATTGTCAGACATACATTCATGCTTTTATCATTTTATCAGGCATGGTTTTGTCTTTTTTTTCAATTTTGTTATTGATATTTAATAATTATCATAGTTATGGCTCTATTCTTTCGCACCTTAAAATGGAGGAAAATTGGTCTAAAAGCACATGTCTTAAATATTTGATATTAGGATCCCATAGTTTCCTGACATGGTAACAACATCAATATTGATTGAAATGGACCAATATTAAATTCCAATTCATGTTTTTAATTACGAATGTAATAGAAAATAATGAGTTAGAGGTTTAAAAGTATATTAACTAATGTAATCTCAGGGATATATGACCACAAAAAACACCTGTTATGGATAAAAACACACACTATGTACTAAGTTTAAAGACCCCTGCACACAGGCAAATAAATTGAAATCAAATTATAACATATATTAGTCCCAAAATAACCTAGTTTGTGTTTAGTGGAGGTTACAATACGATTTGTCAATATGATTAAAATACAGACCAATATTTCGTTTCGGTTTTTTTATACTTTCGATGGCCTACGCTACATGAAGATCTGACCTATTGTAGTGGAAGGTTACGTCAGAGGTCATACGAGCGGTGTTTGACCCTATGACGTCAGACATTTGATTAACCAATCCGCGTTGAAGTTTCTAGTGGGTTATCTACAGTTTTTTTGCAACAGACCTTTTCATTGGCTAATCCCTCACATCATCCAGAACGCGGGTTATGTAACAAATCTTCTAGATCCTATTGTAGTAAAGACAAGTAAAACAAATTTTGAACTAGAAAAAAAGAAACGAAATATGATCTGTGTTTTAATCAAATTGATATTTTGTCAGATTATAGAAGTGTGAAGTCTTGTTTAAAACGTGTATTATACATAAAACTGATGACTGAATAAATCTAAATTTTTGTTTAAATGTAAATAACCCGTGGATGGGATCTCATTGATTAACGTGAGGAATGTAAATAGCACGTGGGTGGGATCTCTGAATAACGTGAGCACGTGGTTGGGATCTCTGAATAACGTGAGCACGTGGCTGGGATCTCTGAATAACGTGAGCACATGGTTGGGATCTCGTTGATTAACGTGAGCACGTGGATGGGATCTCTCTGATTAACGTTTGAATTTAACTTTACTAATTTCAAGAGGCACGTATCGCCCCATTTCTTTCATCTCGAATCTAAGTTCTCTGATGACGGGACCGACATTAAAGGTCTGTCGAATCTTACTTCTCTGACGAGACCGATCGCGAAAGCAACTAGAAACCCAGAAGACAAACACACGGACAGTAAAGAAAGCAATGATAGTAAATACGTTGTCTTGTATAGCGGCAAACTTTTCCGTATTGATGATACTTGGGCCTTCTTTCAAATTTACAGCCGAACTCAAATGTACCGTTTGGTATAGTGAACGCCCCTACTCTATTCGAAATGACGTTAAAACCAATTCAGCTGTAATGTATTGATTTTGACGTTAATCCAAGGGATCCCATTCGTTGAATATTGTATTATATTGGATATTATTGTCATAGAATCTGTTTTGTAAATAGTTCGGTAAAAAAAATATATATTGTAGAAATTGTTAATTATGATAAAAATATTTTCTTTTAGATTAATAAAAAAAATATTTGTTAGTTTTGATTCCATTATATATATGGTTGAGTGGTCGTTCTCCCCCTCCCCCTCCCCCTCCCCCTCCTCTCCCCTCTCTCTCTCTATTTCTCTCTCTCTCCCGCTCTCCCTTGGCCGTGTTGGGGGCTGGTGGGTGGGGCTAACGCTGTATCATAAGGTCTGTCATTGAGTCAAGTGGCGTGGTTTCGATTCCCCGACTGTACGTGACAAGGAGTAGGGTCGCCTGTCCAACCTCGTGGGTTATTTCTCACTGCTAAAGACCCCTACGCGCAAGCGAACTATTGAAATAAAATTGAACCATCTCTCTCTCTCTCTCTCGCACTGACCGTCCTCTCTACACAGATAGCCATGTGACAACATCTATAATCAATACAAATAATCACTTGTTCAAATAATGTTTATAACGTTATAATCTTGTCTCAACAACCCCAACCCTTTAGTCCATTTCACCTACTCCTTATATATAACCTTATATCATATATTTACCTAAACAATGTTAATTCACCGTAACGTCCCCTCAAACCAGACACATGCTTATTCTCAAACATAAAATAATCTATACATGTTGCGTGGACAGACATGGATTCCTTCTCCTGTAAATAGCTTCCCGTCTTTTCTAGTGCCTATTTTACCTCCTTCCTAGCAACGCCTTATTTAGTTTCTAAAAAGACCTGTAATTTTCCGCCTCCCGGCATCAAGAATCTAATCTAGTTCAAGACACAAAGTCAATAATGAGGACAGAAACTTGATTTTCTAAATACATGTTCCAGTAATTTCAGGGAATAATACAATCAGCCGACACCGCGATAGACGCATTAGGGTTTGCAGTCGGGTTATTTATGAAATGAAATGGGAGGCTGTAACGTCTTACCTTTGTGCATCGACTGGGTTAATGAAGACGGGCTAATACAATGTGCTGTGCGGGACATTTTGCCAGGACAGCGGCACTGCGGCCTACGCTTACTACGAATTCAATCTGTCAAAGGTTCTTTTACGGTGAACACGAGACTTCGGTTTGTTGTCCCATCCGAACGACTACACACTGTCCTTGCCAGACCATGCACCACTGTCGGGGCAAATATATATCCTTATCTGTCATCATCTTGTGGTACTAACGAGGGGGGGGGGGCATATGTTTCCTTGTAATCATTTTAGTGAAATGAAATGAAATGGGGTTTAACTTCCTACTGTTCTGCTCCTACCGGGCTAATGAAGACGGGCATACACCATAGAGTGTGCTATGAGGGACATTTTGCCCAGGTAGCGACACAATGGCCTACTCTTACATCGAATTCCAACTGCCAAGGGATCTTTTACTTGCACGTCAATGTATACACGGGACCTCGGTTTTTTGTCCCATCCGAATAGGACGACAGCTGTCCTTGTCAGGCCCTCAGTCCTGCACCACTGCCAGGGGCAAACCACGTGGGAAATCTGCATGAACTTCTTCGGCCAATGGAGGGATGGAACACGTGACCTCCAGGCTATAGCGAGCCAGCGTCTTACCCACTTAGCCACCGTGGCTGCCTTAAAGGAGCTAAATCGCTAACATTTGGGACCTAGAAATTCACAAAAGTGGGTCGCAACGCATATAATACTACATTTAATGGTTTCCGTTTTTACTCCAATTTCAAATCAGTTATGTTCGGCGAAATAAGTCAGCAATCTCAATCAAGCGCAAATTTCTAGCGTCTAGTTATTCTAGTCTACATAACTCCAATTGATTTGGTGCAATGTGTCTAGCCTCGTCCCTCGAGTCTCTCAATACAACTGGGGCTGAAGCGCATTATGGTACACGATTCGTGTACCAATGTTAAAAAAATTATTTTATCTTAAATATCGGATATCAGAAGCTCATCTTTTCCCGGTAAGTTTACATCATCAATGTTGATTTAAATTGACCAATAATTCGTGTTTTCGATGTCGAAGATTTTGGAGGATTTTGGGTTACGGACTTAGGTCCTTTAAAGAGAAGAACTGAAGCTAAGAAAGCTAGTTCTGTATGATATTCCCCCCGGACCCAGTAATTACCTGCTGATTGATAAACGTCATCTGTTAACTGGCAACACAATTTATTTTATTTTTTCATTTATTGGTGTGAATTCCATTTCTACTGTCTTCATGGTCGCCAGGGGACATTCCACGCGCTTCCAGTAAACTTTATTTCTATTTCTTGTAATGTCAGAACGCCCACATGTAGGTATATTACAAGCCATTACAACGGAAAACGGAATGAGTCTGAACGATAAATAACTTCCTCGTACATCGGACAAACTTTGACATCTGGTATTTCACAATTTAATGCTGGAGCCACGGTAGCTAAGTGAATGAGACTTTGGCTTGCTAGCCTGGAGGTCGAATGTTCCATCTTGGATTGGCCTAGAAAGTTCATCAGGATTTTCCGACGTGGTTTCCGCTTGTCATTGGTGCAGGACGGGGGGAGGGGGCTGACAAGGACAGCTGTCTAGTCGTTCGGATGGGACGAAAAACCGCGGTCCCATGTATACATTGGCGTACACGTAAAACATCCCTTGGCAGTTGGAATTCGATATAAGAATAGGTCGTAGTGCCGCTGTCCGGGCAAAATGTCACTCACACTGTATGGTGTATACCCATGTTCATTAGCCCACTCGGAACAGTAGGACGTTAAACCCCATTTCATTTCATTTCCAATTACCTCAAAGTTAAAATTCACACGGTCTAAGATCAAACTAAAGTCTAATGAAAACAGAATCGGACGAAAATTGGAATTAAAGGAGAATTAAGTTTGTGATGAATCGGGGTTCAGATTGTTTGACAAATATTTTAAATTAAAACAAGTGATGAAATTACTGAGATAGAGTTGGAGTTTGTGAAAACATAATCGATTATTATTTTAGTGTTTATTCCAAATAGTCCACATTTATTGACGGCTTCAACCACGGGTTTGCAAACAGAAAGCGCAATTGATGTTAATTATCGAATTAAAATCAAAGGTTCTACAAAGAAACCGTTTTTGTACCATGAAAACTCAGAATTCAAATTAAAATTAGTAAATGAAACATCTATGAAAAGAAAATATTTGTATTAAACGAGGAAATTGATAAGATTTTTGCGGATCCTACATAGAAAAAACTGTGTATGAGTTAAAACAATTAACCCCTTTAATCTCGATATGTGAATATTTTAGTCTTTGACATATTGTGTAATTATTGCCCCTCCCTAATACCGATGATCTTCAGCTGAGTTTAACAAATGGAATGACTCTATTCTATACATGTAAAGTATTTATTTAGATGCATCGAACCATTTTGAACCCCACATGTGCGAACCATTTTGAACCCCACATGTGCGAACCCCACGTTATTGATCTACGATATACGATATACTGTCCACTTCACGTCTACTACATATATACACGAATTTAATTACGGATGTAATAATTTCCACATGGAGTGCCGATGTTCTTGATTAAATAGAATTCGCACAGTCAGCTATACGAAGGTATATAAGTCCCTGAGACGAGAGAATTGATTAGAGGAGAGCGGAGACGGGCGTATGGACTCACCCGAGTTTCGCCGCTGTTGTAACATAGTCATTGTAATATGTTCCTGTTAAATTTATGTAGCAGTTTCATATTCTTTTCACGATGTAAAAAATCCTATAATATGTAGGAAACTGATTTCTTTTATCACTAATAGTGTTACATTATTTCGAATTCCAATTGTCAAGCAGGAGGTCTCCCGGTTTGATCCCAGTGTCGCGTTTCCTCTTGTAAATGGTACAGGATGTTGTGTCTGGTATGTCGAATTCCAACTGCCAGAGGTTCCTTTACGTGCACGCCAATCTGTTTCTCGTCCCACCCTAACGGCATACATTGTCCCGTGCCAGCCCCTCAGTCCAACACCATTGAAAGGGGGGATCCACGACGGAAAATTCAGGGGATCTTTTACGTGCCCGCCAATGTGTACACGAGAACTTCGTTTTTTTTGTCCCATCCGAACGTCTAGACAACTGTCATTGTCAGACCCTCAAGACGGAAAATCCCGGTGAACTTTCTCGACCAACACTGGGAGCAAACCCGCGACCTCCGAGCTAGCAAGAATTCCAATGGTAAACCGACAGACATGGCCGTATTTTGCCCTGTCTATGGTGCATGGTGAGGATTCCGCCCATCTACAATTTAGGAAAAGGTAGGAGTCGGCAAACCTAAGAGACAAGAAAAAGAACAAGGTCCTGATTCAAAAATACGAGCGGCGTGATGCACAATGATTTTTCTTTATCGTATAGTAGCAGAGGATAAGCAACTGGAAAGGTCTGAAAATTGACGAATTGTCTAGGCAAACAGTTGGTATAAATGATCGTCTTTATGGCTGTCTCGAGATTACCAAATGGACGTCTGTAATGGTCGTTAGATCCAGTTAGTCAATATAGTTCTTCACCATACAGAAATAACGCTCATCTATTGTGTTTAATGGGTTTTTTTCTGGAAAGATGAGTACTAACAATGTTTTACTAAGTTAGTAAGACGCTGGCGCGGTGGCTGAGTGGGTAGGGGGTGGCTCAGTGGGAAAGACGCTGACGCGGTGGCACAGTGAGTAAGACGCTGGTTCGCTAACCAGGAGGTCTCGGGTTCACTTCCGGTGTTCGCCGATAACTTTCTTCTGAGGGCCTAGTCGTTAGGATGGTATGACAAACCGAGGTCTAGTGTACACAATAGAGTGCACACAAAAGACCTATTGACAAATGAAATAAGAGTAGGCCGTATTGGTGCTGTCCAGGCAAGATGCTCCTAATCGCAGACTGTATGGTGTATGTCCGTCTTCATTAGCAGAACAGTAAAACGTTAAACCCCATTTCGTCCCATTCGCTTATCCACTGGTTAGTGGTAAATGATAAGGCCAGCTCAACTTTTCGTCATAGACCAAGAGATGTAAACAGGGCTAGCGCTAATCCCAACCCTAACGCTAACTCTGGACCTAGCACCAATGCTTTCCCTAACCCTAACCTACAATCTCACAAA